TTGGCCTAACGGGAGCGCCAACTACCTTTAGTGATATGGCAGCTACGGCCCTAAGAGATCAAATTGGTCTATTATACGAGCCCTACGTGGACGACAACGGTATGGCAGGAGACGACTTTGATGAGAAATTGGAAAGATTGGGTAAGTTCTTTAATTGTGTCAGAGAAAAACGACTCTCGCTCTCTCCACAGAAAACCCAGCTGTTCATGTCGGAAGTAGTGTTCGCGGGCGCACGAGTAGGAAAAGATGGTGTTCGACCTGACCTCACTAAACTCTCAGCCGTAGTGGATTGGACACCTCCCCGAACACTACATAACCTCATGCAGTTCTTAGGCCTGACAGGCTACTTCCGGCCACTCGTCAAGAATTACGCCAAAATAGCCGCACCACTCACCGATCTCGTACGCAGATTGGGCGTACCAGCCAGAGGACAACAGGTAGGTAAACGTAAGTATCGAGAACACCTCCGGAAAACGTTCTTAACCGACTACTGGAAACATAACCACATGGATACCTTCCTGCAACTCAAGAAAGCACTGATGTCTGAACCAGTCCTGCAAGGACCACGCTTTGATGGTACCCCGTTCATAGTAACAACAGACGGCTGTAAAGACGGATTTGGCGCAGTCCTCACACAACGGTTCACAACGGTCCTACCCTCAGGCAAGACAACAACAGCAGCTCACCCCATCGCGTACGCGTCAAAACGGACCTCCAAAACAGAAGAGAAGTACAAACCATTCTTGCTAGAATTTGCCGCACTGAAATTCGGCCTTGACAGATTTTCAGACGTCATTTGGGGATCTCCAATAGAAATTGAGACCGATTGTCAGGCCTTATGGGACGCCTTACTCAGCTCCAAACTCAACATTGCACACGCACGATGGCGCGACGGCATCCTTGCATACCATATCGTCGACGTTAGACACAGGGCGGGAGTAACTAACACGGCAGCTGATGGTTTAAGCAGACAGTTTGTAACATTGGATGCAACAACTGACGACGGTGGCAATTGGACCGTCAACGAAGACTGGGAGTCTTCGAGAGGTATCATTCATGACCTATTCGGCCTCAAAACTGACAATATCTCCCCCCAGACTCTTTCTTCCGACCTCGCCAACCTACGGACCCGCTTCAAGAACGAACCGTTATCCCTCGAAGCCTTAGATGCCCTCTGGAACCTCGACCACGGTAAATCGATAAAGGACAAACGACGTGCACGCATCAATGCCCAGTCCTACTTCATAGACGAAGGGAAACTATGGTACATCAACAGCAAGGCCACCACCAGAACACACAGCCGGCTAGAATGCATGTCGCAAGAAGAGGCAACTGAACTGGCCAGACAGGAGCACTCGATGAGAGGGCATTGGGGACGAGACCTGGTCAAACTTCAACTCATGGACCATATCCATAGCCCTCGCCTCAACCGTTCCATCACCCTCGCCATCATGGACTGCGCGAAATGCAAGAACTTCGGACCCACGCACCTGCATTCACTGTTAGACCCAATAGTACGCCGTCACCCGTTTGAACTCATTGTTGCTGATTACTTGAGCATGCCTGCGGGCAAAGGCGGTTTTTCTGAAATAGCTCTTTTTATTGACACATTCTCTCAGTACACTTGGGGATTTAAGTTCAAGAAAAAGGGAACCGCTAAGTCCACTATCGATTGTCTAACTAAAATATGTCATGACTTCCGAGCCCCAGAATCGTTCATGACGGATGGAGGTCGCCATTTCGACAACCACGATGTCGCCGGATGGTGCGCAGCACACGGCACTCAACACCATGTGACAGCAGCCTATGCTCCATGGATCAACGGGTTAGTGGAAGGCACGAATAGCAAGTTGTTGGGGAGATTGCGTCGAGCCTGCGCACCAGAGTTGGGAGAAGACGAGTCCAGCGCAGGAGCAACCCTGGATGAAATTCCAGCTAGCTGGCCAGATCACTTTGAAGCAGCCATCCAACACCTCAACGAACGCACCATTCCCGCATTCCAGTACTCGCCGAAAGAGCTGTTGTTGGGGTTGGTTATCAACACAACCATCACACCATCGCAAGTCACAGCTTCGGCACCGTCACAAAGTGACGTCGACGTTCACTCAGCCTACGTGGAGCAACAACGTTTGGACTCACAGTTCCACACCACGATCCACGCCATCAAATGCAAGCTCAAGTTCAATTGAAAGGTCTTATTATCTGGAACAGGTGAAGTCGTGTTTGCTCCAGGACAGTTAGTTCAAGTCTATGCTAATGAGTTAGATAGTACCTTCAAATCCTCATGAAAACTCGTGCCTCAGTGGTCTGCACCACGACGCATCGTCTCGCACCGCAGCAATTCATATGTGCTGTCCACCCTCGAAGGGTTTCCAATGCCAGGCTGGTACCATGCCAGACGCCTGCGCCGTTTCATACCTCGGTCCGGAACAGCATTAGCTGAGCTGCAGAAGGAAATAGAGGACAGCAGAACAGCAGAAACGAGTGGCGAAACGACGGAGGGAGGGGTGAGCATCGAGACGTTGGAAGGAGAGACGAGCGAAGATGCGAGGATGGTGTACACTCTTCAAGACCAACCTTCGTTTCCTCTAGAAGCGGTTGCGTTAGACACGCCGTTCAGAGACGCGACCCAGGAGTGTCGCATTTGTTGGGGGGGTATATGTGTCAGTAGGGGTTGCATAGGAGCTGAGCAAGGAGTGCATAGGCAGGAGGTGTTGCAGGTGTCAGGGGCATTAGAGGTGTCAGAGGTCCTGGTAGAGTCTTAGAGGTAGCGCCAGTGCCTTGTAGCAGAAGCATCACATCCACTACAAAGCATCATTCATAGAGTCACCCTGCTTCGTCGTACCGACTCACCGTTAGCACTTGTAACCTAATTTATATTCTTATGAGAGTTTCAACCAGCGAGGTATGATAGTGTAATTAGGTACCGTTTGTTGAGCAACATCATATTACCTTATTTTTATTTGACTTACAAAACTATATAGATTGATTCAAATATTGCGTGAATTACAAGGTCATGCAGGTGACTAACCCCAAATCATGTGAGCAGCGCAAGTGGTTGAAATTGATTTGTCATTATTTGTTCATTGTTTGTGCAAGGACAGAAAATTTCGCGCAAGTTCCTTTCAACTTCGTTTCACTGCTACTACCACCACCCTCTCGAGCGCGGTGAATCACCTTGTGATTCCTCCCTTGTCCTTTGTGGTGATCCCTCCCTGGCCCTTCATGGGTGGTCCCTTCCTGGCCTTTTGGATTTCCTCGTGGTTCCCTGGCCCTTTGTGGTGGTTCCTCCCTGGCCTTTCCTCGCGGTTCCTCCCTGGCCCTTCGTGGTGGTCCCTCCCTGGCCTTTCCTCGTGGTTCCTTGCTGGCCCTCCCTCATGGTCCCATCCTGGCTCTTCCTTGTCACCATTCCCTCTCCACATCTTTCTTTTTTATTATGTACCATGTAATTACATACGTATTTAAATATAAATAAAATTGATTTTTATTGAATTTTTTCATAAAATGAGTGCTAAGAAACAATGAGTGGCAAAAATCTGGTGTTTTAGGTAGTTCTGTTAAACTTACTCCAGGTAGTATCATTCTGACAGATACCATATAAATTTTATGTTAGATAAAGCTTTGCAAAGCTTTATATTGTTGGGTCAATTAGTTGATGCTTCAGAGTTGTGAACCTCCCTTTCGTTATGGCATTTCATAAAATTTTATACGATAATGATAATCAGCAACGCGTCTTTCCTCTATAAGGCCAAACATAACAATGTAATTGTTGATAGCAAAATTATGCTAGTTCTTGCGATTATGTACTATATATTGTTATTTATTGCTATCTACTTTCCTCACGGGTTCACTGATGCCGAAGGCTGTAGCTCAGAGGATAACAGGGAATCTGAAGATGAGGGACCAGACTTTAAATTTTAGGGTCGACTTACTCGCAACTTAAGCTGATTGTAGTGTAGACGTTGTATTCCATTGTGACTCCTAGATGAATCGTTCCTTTCATACTGGCAGATCCATATGGGACGCACTTGAATGGCATCGCACGCGTGACTTGAAGCTTGAAAGTCCCGGTACTGCTTACCCTCACCACACCAGCAAATATATGGGCTTATGGCGGTTAGATATACTTGTTGTTTGATTTTTATTGATCTAGGTAAGCTATAACATTCATAGTGCGTGATCTCAGTGTACCCAAAGTTATTGTCTGACTACGGTCACGATGGATTGCTATATAAAATGCTGCTTTATCGCGCAATTCTGATGGAAAATTGTAGACATCAGAACATTAGCTTGGAACCCGATCTGGGTTCCTATTGGTGTATTGAAAGCAAGCGGAAATAAAGAAGTGACTATGGATCAGTAATACGATTTGGGGTTGGGAGGGTGGAGTGTAGAATTACGAACACTAGCTAGAGAGTTTATAATGGCTTATATGGGGTTCACCAAAGAGCAAGCAAAGGACAAAAGAGATCACAGATCAGGCATCTAATACGTGTTTCACAAGCCACCGCATAGACATATATTGGTGAATCATATTTGCCCGACCTTATAAGGTAAATATGGCCACATCATGCTTGGTGGGTTTCAGTGATGTGATCATGACGCCGCATTGTCCATTTTAGCACAGATTCTTCGACTAATCGTAGTCGGTGACCTCCATTCCCAGTGCTTAGTCCAATCATACCAGCACCTACATCGTGCCGAACACCCCTCGACAACTTGAATATGGAGATATACGTGTAGAATGACCTGAACCCTCGACCTTCCAATATGCGAGTCCCTTCCTAGCGCATTCCCGCTGGCATCTACATATATATCAATGTCGACTCCCGGAGACGCTGGAAATCAGCCATCATGGCCATCTCTATGCCCGAGAGACACACTCACCGTGATACCTACTTCAACAACTTGGCCTTATCACTCTTGTCCCGCTTCAGACACCAAGGCAGAATAATGACCTCGATGAGGCCATCTCATTACACGAATAAGTCCTGTGCCTACGCCCTGTTGGACACGAATATCGTGATTTCTCATTGGTGAACCTGGGCATCCTTGTCGCCTGCTCCAACAAACGCGGGCCCGGGGGTATTGATGACATCACCCCAGCTATCAGCCTCTGTCGCGAGGCACTGACGGTGTGCCCACCTGGGAATTCACTTTGTGATGCCACGCTTAACAACCACCTTGCCTTCACGTTCAAAACAAATCGCATGTCACATCAGGGAAAGCCTTCCCCCTGAAATTGAGGTAATTTCCAGTAAATCCCTGGTTTTCCTTTGATTTTCAGCGAAATCATGTTTTACTGTTTTATTTAAGTCCGGTCATAGTTTCAACGAATTAGTTCGAATTCCAAATGATTTCTTCTGAATACTAATGAATTAGTTCGAATTCACTCGTTGGTCATTGTCAAAATACACGAAAATCAACATTATATTGGATCAGAATGGCCTGTCAGTATGTACGAACGACTATCAAAATGTACAAAGTGAGATCAGTAATACATGGGTATCCGCGGGTGCACATGGCACAACAACCTTAGTTCAATCCTCGGACATTGCACTGAGATTGAGGTAGTCGAAGTTGCTCAGCGCACCAGATGGCAGCAACACATTGTCCGACACACTAACATAGTATGTTAATGGCAGGCATTCAATCAGAGGATGATGAAATGCACCAGACAGCCTTGTAAAGCCGTGCCATCAGCGCATGATACTTCTTTTTACCGCCTTCAAAGATCCGAGTGAGGGTTGCTTCATGGGCTTTGTAAATGCTAATGTAGACAGTAGCATTGAATGATTTGACTTGAGAGCTCGACGGTGGATTGCCGCTCCTCCAGTCCATCAGTATGGCATAGATCTGCAACAACCGTCACATTTAGTAAGTATTCATCTAGAAAATACAAATAAAAAACGTACAACAGTTGCAATCAAGGCAACCATAGCTATGGGGAGCTCCGGCTCATCATTGCCATCTAAGACCGACACAAAATCTTCATGTGATTGAACTCCGATCGAGTTCTCGCCGTCGAACAATGACTGATGTAGCGTATCGATCATGGCCTCGTCGCAGAAAGGTTGATCACCAAGGACTTTACCCTGGGCAGTGACATCAATATCGACAATGAAACATGACACTAATTGACATCTGACTTATTGGATTCAGAGTCGCTGATACCATATTCACTCGCAGAGTCGTCAGTGTCAACTGACACACCATTGTGACTCGTGAGAGTGGAAGCTACACCTATTTTAAGTTGAGTATCACTTCAACTCGGTTTTAAAGAGGCCACACATACTGCTTCTCTCACGACCACCACCTTCAACTGCTTTCTGTGTCTTTTCGACTGCTTTCAGTGTCTTCCTTACTGACTTTGTTGCAGGCGCAGACAGAAGCTCAGTCACCGTTGGTGCACGCTTGCGATTATTGCTGGTTGTATCATTCCAGACTGACATAGGTATGTAGCATAATTTTTTTTGCACAATATGGGTTTAGGCGCTCACCTTTGCGCTCCAGTGCTTTTTTCTTTGAAGACCATTGCAGCTCTTTGCGAGAATGTGAGTTTTTTTGGGTCTGATTATGACAAGCCTCTGTACTCACTGCTATCTGCGATGTCATCAGCTATGTCTGGGGTTACGACCTCAGCGCCAGAAGACACTTGTCTCGCCACTACTTTCTCTTTCTTTTTAGCATTCCGCTTCTGAGCAGCTATCTCAGATGGATGGGGAGGCATTTTAAAAGGTGAATGAGTGTTTTCTCTTTTCAAAGAGTGTACTGCTACAAAATTGAATGATACAGGACGCTGAGGGTAAAAAGAATGTAGTGGTCAAGTTGGTGGGCAGTGTTAAAGAAAAAAGTTCATAGTCCGCTGAACTTTGCATGGGCAGGGTTGCAGGGTTGCGCTGGGGCAGGGTTGACAAAGTTCGTAGTCCGCTGAACTTTGCTTGAAGCTTTGTTTGTGGCTGTAGGTTGTCTTTGTTACGGCCCTTGTTTTTTTACCACCAGAATGATCACTTGCCCAGGCTGCGCTAAGAACTTCGAGCTCGCTGACCATTCTCATCATCTTGCCACTATGAAAAATCCGCCATGTGCAGCTCTATTTCAACATCATTCTAGTTTTTATATGGATACAGATGACGATCACAGCGACTTTGAACCACCAGCATTAACTGAATTTACAGGGGACTACTTTGGCAACTATGATGAAGAAGATTTGATCTCGCAAAGGATGCTTACAGAGCTACTAACCATAAAGACGAATATACGCAAATGACACTCTGGCTTGAAAGACGCGAGAAGATGTTATGGCACAATAATTTCGTCCAATGGCGCCTTGCTGGCGATCCTCCTCCACAAGACAGGTTACCGCCCGACATGGACTATCGTCGCTCGATCAAGATGACGAAACACCCAACTATTAGAGCTAGTTCGGCAACTCGATATTTTCGATATTTTTCAATATTTGCTTTGGCATGTTTGCGAAAATGTTCACCGGCATCGTTCCGAGATGTCGGAGCTCGAACCTTGCTTCTCTCCTACTGTACATATTATCAATGGATGTATACCCTCATCTAACCCTAGAGCGGCGTAAGAGGCTTTTTGCTGGTGCGGTCGCGATCACTGCGATCTGTGCACAGTACACTACTCTTCTCATGGCCCAACCTGAAGTCAATGCTCCCCCTCACTCCAAGGCCCCACCAGCGCAGTGGAATGATGTCGAGACTGTTACCCTTGTAGACTATCTCTATGATCATCGCTCAGAGGCTGAAGGGGCAGGCAACTTCAAGCAGCAGGTTCTTGGCTCTGCTGCAGAGTTCATCAACAATCATGAGGCGCTTCAATCCACTCGCGCAGGTCCACTGAAGACAGCGAAATCAACTCGAAACAAGTGGACATCAGTAAGCCCTATTTGATCTCATCTGATCTAAGCTGACGAGTCTCATCTAGCTTAAAAACATATTTCATGCTATCGAGAAGTACCGCAACCAGACAGGGGTCCACTGGGACAATGAGACTGGAGCTGGGATTGAAGGAACTGCGGCTGCGGCTGTATGGACATCGTATGTCAAGGTATGTCCCCTCTTCGTCATATTGATTTGAGCGCTGACTTTTGTCAGGCAAATAACCTCATGCGTCCTTTCCGCAACAGGGGATGGGAGCATTATGAAAAAATGCAGACCATCATCCCATTGGGCGGCGCTAGAGGGCGGCACGTCTTCCGTCCAGGTGGCGCTGCTCCCTCCACCACCAATGCTGATAACGATCTTGCGGATGCTGCTGGCCCATCAAGCACTGCTGCTGTTCCTGCTGCTCCAAGCGCTGCTGCTGTTCCTGCTGCTCCAAGCGCTGCTGCTGTTCCCGCTTCTGCAGGCCCATTAAGCACTGCCGCCACCTCTACGTCCATCACTAGCTCCACTCCTGCACGTTCCACCGCCATCTCTACTACCGCTGCGTCTACCGCTGCGTCTACCGCTGCGTCTACCGCTGCGTCTACCGCTGCTGGCTCTAACGCCAGCAAGCGCCCATATTCGGATGTGATGGGGGACATGGAGTCAATTGGCTCCACGCACTTGTCATCGTCCATGCGACCTCCTTCCACCACGCTGGTGTCAGCCCCCCCATCCAAGAAACCACGGACTCCGGTGGTGTCCCAGAACAGCCGTGTCACCAAGATCAGCAGTGCCGCCAAGGCTGCAAAGATCACGCCGGCAGCTGCTGTGGTGGGGATGCAAGGCACCATCAACCGGCTCACCGACGTCTTTGAATGGTTTGTCAGAGGAGGGCCTGATGGTGCACAAGGTAGTGAGGACCTGGTCATGCGAGCCGTCAAAATCCTGGAAGGCGAGGACTCTGACATACCGCCGGACCAGCAGGCTGCTCTCATCATGTTCATTGGTTCAAAGGGCAATGAACATTACCTCAAGTTCTACGTGAATCTTCAGGAGAAGAGTAGGAGGCGTGCATTCGTGGGGAAGCTGATCGGCGAGGCAGTTGATGCAGGTGATGCCGGTCCAGCGCCGCGTGTTGATGCTGAAATGACGGGCTGAGCCGCCTGCCAGCAGGACAATATTCGTTTTCAATGTTTTAAATCTCATCATGCTGTGTGTGTTCGCTCGCTACTTCTTGTGTTGTGTTGCTATATGTTGTACTACCTACCACCTGTGAACTGAATAGAATAACTCTTGTGTGTCAATAACAAGCGCGTTCTCACTTCATTGTTCATTGTTCAGTATGGAGCACAGTAGTAAGTACAAAGTAAGCCTACACATCACTATCAGTATCATCAGCGGCATCAGCAGCAGCATCCTCGTCATCGTCCATGATATCAAGTGCGTCTAAACCCCGTTCCTGTATGACGCGCTGATACTGCGTCCACATCGCTGCTGCAATGCGATCACGCATCGCAGCTCCTTGACGAAATTCCTCCTCGTTATCCTCCTCAATAGCTGCTGCGTCATCCTCCGCGGCCACGTCAGCGCCAAGACCACCACCATCCTCAACATCTTCATCTTCGTCATCAGCAGGAGGATGACCCTCGCTAGGGTCACGAAGACGAATGTAGTTGTGTAGGGCGCAAAGCGCGGCTGGAATCTGCGCTTGAATCTCCATAGCGTAGGCCGGTGGTAAGAGCAGTATGCGAAAACGTTGCTTGAGAACGCCAAAGATGCGCTCAATGACGTTTCGTGCTGACGCGTGACGTAGATTAAATAATTCCTCCTTGTTAGAAGGCCTGTAAACTTAGTACTTAGCACATTGAAAATCAATCGAGAATGAACTTACCGTATATTGGCGCGACCCCATTCGGCAAGATGATAACGCACGCTTCGGTAGGGTACCAGCAACCCAGGACGTAGAGGATATCCTGCGTCGGCAAGAAAATATTTGCCAGCGGGAGTGCGAAAGTCGTAAGAGCAGGCGTCCTCGTAGACGCGAGCATCAGTGGCCGACCCTTCCCAGCCTGTAAGTGCGTATGTGAAGTTGAGCTCGAAATCGCATGCGAAAAGGCAGTTCTGCGACACGAAGCCCTTGCGATTACGATACACCGGACGTTCGATGGCCTTAGGCGTGACGTGGATGTGACTGCCGTCGATCGCCCCAATAGCGTCCTTGAAAAAGGGCCACCATTTGGGGTTCTTCCGAATTTTGCGGGGGACCGAACCATCTGGAAAGCGCACGTATCTTGAATAGAACGGGTCCGACGTGAAGATGATAAGCATCTTGCGGAAATAACTACATACTATTAGATACTGTCACTTGAAATAAAATAAAATAAACTCACCGTGAAATCGTTTCGTTCGAGCGTTGAAATCTCTCCGCAACATGCCTGATTGATAGGCCAGTCACAGAGGTGTAAAGAAAAATCGCAAGTTGTTCCTCGAGGGACACAAACTTGGAGTCTGAATGGCCCATGGTGCGAAGCTCGGAGATAAGCTCCACAAATGCATTGGCGCGCATGCCAAGCTCACACCTGATGCGCTCTGGGTGACCAGTGAGCAACTCGATCACCCAGTCTTGCCCAGTTAGCGCTGAAGTGTGATAGGGCTCGGGATCTTTGGGATATATTGATTGTAGGATGCCGTGCGTAGAAGCAACAACGATGCTGATTACGAGTACCATGCATTTGAGGAGTCGTTCCCGGACCTCTGGCCGAGGATTCGTCATGAGCGCTGCTAGGCGTTGGCGCTCCATCGCGAACCCCAGTGGTTGGGGATCCATCAAGGTATATACCCTACCCTCATTATCACTGATCTTGTTGATAAGCTCAAATTCAAGCTCCGAATCGCCTTGGACTTAGGGGGAGCATTGACTTCAGGTTGGGCCATGAGAAGAGTAGTGTACTGTGCACAGATCGCAGTGATCGCGACCGCACCAGCAAAAAGCCTCTTACGCCGCTCTAGGGTTAGATGAGGGTATACATCCATTGATAATATGTACAGTAGGAGAGAAGCAAGGTTCGAGCTCCGACATCTCGGAACGATGCCGGTGAACATTTTCGCAAACATGCCAAAGCAAATATTGAAAAATATCGAAAATATCGAGTTGCCGAACTAGCTCTTAGACGTGTTCCATTGGATAGTGTAGTTCGCGACTATGGCGCCACTTTTTTCACCGAAGCATTAGCTCGTTATGTCATTCGCACAAATCAACCTGGCCTTTCTCCAGCGCAACTTGAACAAGAAGCTTCCCATGTCATCCTTCCCTTCCAGACTGTTGCCGCATTCCATAGGGTCAAGTTCCACGCAATCAATGCTCACGGACATCGTGATTCAACCGTTACCGTGGATTCAGTGCACTGTCAGCCACCACGAAAGGACAAAAGAAGGCAGATAGTTCCTGCGCGCTTCGACACGGTTTTAGTTAACGAAGATGGTGGTGGGACGACAGGTGTTGATGGTGCGTGTTTTTTGTACTAATCCCTTGTAACATCATGCTAATATTTGATCATCAATATCAGGGTATCGTGTTGCACAAGTGCGCATCATCTTCACGCTGACAAGCCAGGCTACAGCTGCCTTATTTCGCACACCTGGAATTTTGCCTACCCACTTTGCATATGTGGAATGGTTCACGCCATTCGGGCAGCCTGAAGCAAACCATGGTTTGTATAAAATTTCCCGCCTCATTCGTAATGGAGAGCGTCTGGCAAGCATCATTGACATTTCTGATATTCGCAGGAGTGTACATCTTATTCCAAAATTCGGCCCTGTAGCACCTCGTGAATGGACCAGTAGTACCGTTCTGGAGCTTTGTTCTACCTTCTTCGTAAACTCGTTCAGCGACAGGCATGCTTATTTAACTATTATCTGACTAGTACTAGAATCGACTACATTCATCTGAAATACAATGATTTCTGTGAAAATACTACATTTCCTGGAATTCAACCGTTTTAAGCTCGAGTTTGAATATTTCGGTGAATTTCCTGGCAGAGGCTTTCCCTGATGCAGCGAGGATCTTAACAAAGCCATTGGTCTGCATTGCGAATCCCTTCGGTTAAGGCGACTTGACCGTCCGGAAGTGCCATATCAATCTTTACAATTTGATCTCGGTGCTCTGCTCTCGTTTCATACAAATCCAGAAGAATGAAGATGTCGAGGAGGCCATCACTCTTTGCCAACAATCATTGGTAACTCTGTCTCCATTATATGCAGACAAGCATTTCAGCTACAGACGACTGGGGGAGGCCTATTTATCTCGTTACCGGATTCTACACGACCCTGCTGATTGATCGCTCATTATAGAGAACTTCAGACTTGCATCGCGATACCCCACTCAAGCTCCCAGAACGCATCATTCATGCATGTAATTGGACCGTTGCAGCGGAGCAGCATAGTCGTACATCTGCACTGGAGGCCTACAACACCATGTTTCGACCTTCTTGACGGTCATTTGGCAACACGATAAGCTGCTGCTGCCCTTAATAGTGTCAGATCGCTGCCTGTAGACGCAGCATTATGTGCCATCTGTCATGACAACCTACGACAGGTAATCGAACCCGCAGAGCAGGGTTGTGACCAGCAGTGGTCACTGGCATCTCGACTCAGGACTCCAGTTGAAGACCTCCAGTCAGCAAATTCGACGCTGGCGCACAATCATTTGGAGCTGAGCAAATGCATTCTCAATGCCGCACAGAGATCACCGACAGTGCTGCTGCTGATGGGGTAGCAACAGGGTATAAGCACCATAATTGTCCCGACGTCAGAAGGCCCTTATCACACGTTCTTGCCGTCTATCGTTCTCGTAGATCTAACCAGTCTCAAGGATCGCTTCGCCAAGGCAATACGACACACATCTATCCTGGGCCCTAAAGTGTCGCAGAACGATCTAATAGTCCTCTTGACAGTATGGGACAAGATCGTGCTACCCATAGTCAACGTCCTCCAGCATGATCTGAAATTAACATTCCATTCTCGAATCTGGTCATGTACAACTGCATCTTTCACGTCCATTCCTCTCCACGCAGCTCACACGTGGCGAACAAACACAAATCGCTGTGAGGAGCCATGCCTGAGGGATCTCTACACCTGCTCTTACACAGCGATACTTTTGGCTCTGATCAGATCTAGACAGTTGATGAAGAAACATGTGCCTCCGTCCTTGGTGGGGATCGGACAAGGAGGTGGTACCAGGGTTGTAAAATATGCGATCAGGGTCAGTGGATGACAGACATTGAATAAGCTGCTCACCATGACTCAAGAGGACATATAAGCTGAATGCGACGTAGCCGAGCTCCACGCCATTGCTGTCATTCTGGCTACTTAAATGGGCCAACTTGAAATACCCCGCATAAACGTTTCGTCTAGTTGCTGTTAGCGGTATGTTCGTTGTTCCTGATGTGGTTCTGCCACGTATGCTTACCTTTATGCAGAACTATGTAGACGGTTGATATAATTTGAATGTGGCAGTTTCTAAACTTGAACTTGTATCCCAAATTGAAAGACAATCGTACCGTCTCAGTGAGTGTTCTTGAGACTCAAAGACTCGGGCAACTTGGACATCATCTTTATTACCTTCAAGTTTAGTTCTTCCTGGATGTGCCACTATCAACACCTTTGCGTACACCACACAATCAAAGTATACGGTAGGCAATTTCCCGGCACTGATGGTCATCGCTGACATATACTATACGCCGCCAGACACCATGAAGATCCAGTTCGCATACTACCTCACCATCATTGCTGCCGCCGCCGGGGTGAATGCAGCACTTGCTAGTGTATGCATATATGATTGCCAAGATCCTGATGCTTCCGCTAGCTGCGGAGCAGGCTGGGGACTGGTCTGGGATAATAGCCTCAACTGCAACATCTGCTGCACTACTAGTTAGACTTGGAGTGGGCATCGAGTTCATACAGATGATGTATTTGATCTTTAGTATCTAGTTATCTAGCAAGGCACTCGACAGCATTTGCGTTTTCTGAGGGCATGTGCACGCTCTAATTGCTCACCTACCTTCGCGATTGTATTTGGGTGACTATTCATCACGCAGGTCCAGTTTCTAAACAGCAAGCTTGAAACCAGGACGGCAGAGGTTGAGCGCTGAGCGTCGGCGTTACTTATCTCCCGTGAGAATCATCTTCCGTCAAATTAAAGGATGCGGGAGATAAGAATTGCAAGTACTTGTAAGGTACGCCAGTATTTCCATGAGGATACACATCATCGATTGGAAGACCACTGATCGATTACAGGTAATTAGACCGATGATCCGAACACTGTCAGAATTCGAACGCTATGAAACTTCTTCCTGGACCCCGCATACGATTTACAGTTTGAATAGCAGATAAGGATTGTTCTTGGCCGAAGTCGACTGAAGTTGGTTTATTTGAATGTTTACTCGATTTTGAACTTGGGGCCGTTACTGTCGAGTTTAAAACTGAGAATCATATAATGGTGGAATCGAAAGAGCGAAGAGAAGTCGGTATTAGACCGCAGGCGGTAGCCGGGAGAGCAGATGGGACGACGGAAAAATTCTGGCTGCAATGGGCAAGGGTGTTACCAGATGATGGCGACCCATGCCAAAGAGGACCTGGATCTTATCGATCGCAACATTATCCTGTGACGCCCAAGGATGAGTGTAAAATGCGACAACAAACTTAAAACACACAAAGACAATGGTCAAGATAGCTCTGACATTTTATCACTCAGCTCTTTAATGTCGTGCTTCAGCCCAGCCGCATTTTCCCACCTCAGCTCCGCGATGTTGGACTTCAGTACGCAAGCTTTTTGACGTCGTGTTTCAGCTCAGCATTTACTGCCTCAGCTCAACTATGTCACGATCAATTTGAAGCCCACAAAAACACCTGGTGTGATTGTCCTTTGTAGCTGATCAAGCAGGATTAGAATGTGTATCTACGAATACGTTGGCAATAGCGACGTACCTGGGTCTGGGGAGACGGGCGGTACACCGAGAAGTGTATTCAACTTTCGAGTGATCCCTGATTGCCATCATCCCCTCCTCCTTAGCTCTGGCAACAGTCAAATAACTTGGTAAGTCTGTAGATTTCTGCAACTTTGTCTCCGCACCACGAAGATCGGATGGATGGTCGGAATTTGCCGGGCGTTAATGTCTCCGTCGTGCTCTCTCAGGCTGGCTTAGCTTGAATTTTCATCCAAGACAACATCATTTTGTCCAGGTCAATGGTCGATGCGGTGGAATTCAAATGGTACATATTTTGGGCCATACGGACCATGGGCTACTAGTGTTTGGGCATTGTGTGCTCTAGTCTTTGCGAGTCAGGGATACGTGTATCGATCCAACAGGGTCCACTTCATTTCGACAGTGTGAGTCCCCCTCTTTTCCTGTCTGTTTTTGTGCTGATGCAGTATTTTATACTTCACAGATGGAATCAATCGGGCTGTGAAGGCCGTCCGACCCAAGACTTATTGATAAAGTAGAAGCATATACTTCAGGAATACCCAGAGGTGAAATTCTGCATTACATATTCCAAACCTCCGCTGGTGTTTCCACTTTTTGTCCGTATTGTTACTATCATGAAATACACTGATTCTACACTTTGCCTTAATCTATGCTAAATGGGTAGTGCAACTCGATGGTAAAAGTAGGATGCGCATGTCCCTCTCAACCTTGACGTGCTACTTTGCTGATGACTGACTTTGACATTACCCATTTCTTTAGCATGCATATGCTCTCCCGCTAACAACATAGCCGGAAATCTATCTCAGCGCTCTGTATAATCGTACAAGTGTCTATCTACCATGTCAAATAGACAACATGGAATTGCATGAGTAACAAGACCTGGACCATGAACCTCTTCTCCTTCCTCCGTCTTTTCCTACTTCACCCACCACTAAGCACATCCTCGATCCTCCTCGCTTCCCTGCACCGCACCTGGTGCAGCATGTTTGGTGACTTGAATGTGAGTTAGTGTATATTACCTTCGTACCAGTTTCATTATCCTCACGCTCGACCATCTACAGTCATCAGCACAAAAGATATTAATGTACCAGCTGACGTATACCACCACAGACAGGTCGATTGTCGCGCCATTGTAATTCCCACCAGATAACTCATCTGCCATGAGCATACGAAGTCCGCCAAATGTGATTTGGATGTACGAACAAGCACATCGACACCACATTCAGTATTTTGCCATTTCGCATGCGACTCCCTGGGCCATGGAACAATCGAAACTTCCTCATCCCACGTTCATTGTCCATCGGTAATTTCTGATGTTCCACAATACATTGTCCACTGTTCCTCGACTCACACTCGGGCCATTCTTGCTTTACCCATTATTGCATTGGGCCTGCGCCACAGTTTTACATTCCATAGTTCCACATTTAACTTTCTCATATATATAGCCCTCATGGATTCCCTGATACCGACATCAGACCTTTCCCGTCTCTGCAAATCAAACCTTCCCCGCCTATCTCAATCAGACATGTTCTTCCCTCCCCCCATCACAATTGACCTTCCACAGTTGCCTTTGGAAAACATGGAGGAACTCGCGGTCAGCCACCTGTCCTGGTTTGCAGGACATGACACTGAGAAACACGTAAGCCTATTACACATTTTTACTGATCTTCAGACCAACCTTGGTGTCCAGGAATGGATTACATTCCAGGGTTTGCATTGTGATGAATCTGCTTACGATCAAGATGCATGGAGAAAGTTGGTCAAGGACCAACAGACTAAGGTATGGGCAGGAGTAATTCTGGGATCGTTGTCTCGCAACCTAACGCGTTTGTTGCAGGATCTCATAGGATCCATATTAGATACCATTGGATCTTCTCATGACAGTCCACAGCCAGAGAGAGTTCGGGAAGGCACGGTGTGTTTTCAGGCGACATTTCTGCATGACTCTCGTTTACCTTTATCATTTGTAGAATATCCTGCTGAAAGGGGCCCTAGGAACGGGCAAAAAGACAGTTGCGCATGCTATCTGCAACATGCTCAAGCGCCCGATGCTTGACATTCGGGCGAATGACATCCCACTGACGTGCGACAATGTGCAACCTTGGGCCGCCAAACTAGCATCGGTATGTACCATCTGCGGGCCATGATACATATCTGACTCAGCGTTATGGTTGCTTAGCTTGCAATAGAGTGGAATGCGGTAGTGGTCGTAGACTGCGGAGATGTACGTATCGTCTCTCAAATTGTCTGTTATATCCCTTCTGAAGAAATGTCGTACAGTATTTCATAAATTCTGAATGTGCAGGGGGTGAAGTATGTTCTCGATTGTTGTACTGTCAACGCTGTACTAGTATAGCTAATCCTTTGTTAGGAACGCATCAATTTGATGGTTCAAGAATTTGAATCGCCCGGATGTATCTGTCTGTGGCCCGCGGTGTTGACGGACGAGCAGCAGGCACTACTCAGGCCGTTCTCGGCCAGTATGTACCCCAGTTACCTGACCTGACTGCATCACTAACCCTTTCCTGTTGCAGCCATCAGATTCCCCGATCTCGATCTGGTAGCCCGTCGCCGACGTTGGCTACAACTCTTTGGCCGAGATGACCTGGCGGTAGCTATCTCTAGCGGCAAGCACGCATCCGTCCCTAGTGTGAGGGACACGGAGGCGTTGAACTTCCTTCGGGAGATTGAGAAAATCTCTTGGTACGAACTCGATGGTGATGTCATGTCTGACACTGGATGAACTGTGCTGACGGTCCTTATAGGAGCTGATATTGAAAATTTCATGGATTTGGCACGAAGCTTGTCTGGGTAAGTTGTTTTATATCATACAGCTTTTCCTGACGACTAATGAGTGCCACACAGAGGACGAGATCCAACCCCCCATGACGTAAAGGAGTATGTCAAGGTCTGGGGTGTGCCCCTTTCTGTACGGAGCAAGGTGGCGCGGTTTTTCGCACTCCGTGACATGCATCCGCCCCACTTGGCACGTGAGCACTGAGGAACTAAGTTCTCAAGAACACGGTGAAGATCAAGTTGTACTTGTTTGAAATATCTGCTTGCTGGCTTGTACTCTGTAGTTTATGGCACATGAGATGTGAGATTCCTATTGTAACTATATACTTATCATTGTGCATATGAAATACCTATGTCGGAGGATGTTATCGATCGTTAGCTTATTACGTGGAGCAGGGTCCGGGTGTATCATTTCGTTCGACCCTCGGAAGATGTGACCGATCTGCTCAACCACTGGCTGGCGTCAACAAGATCTCATGCAATGTGGTGTCAATGTGCTTGTGCAGGCCAGCGCGCCTTGTTGACGAGGTGTCAAAGCCCGGGACAGTAGCCTCAAGTGTAACATATGCTGCACTACATGATTGAACTCAGAGTAGCCACGAGTTTGTACAGACGATGTATTTATCTATCTATTTACCTACCAAACCACTCGACGACATTTACATCCTTTATAGACCAATAGATAAAGCAAGAAGGCTCAGTTGTACGATAAGTCAGAGCGGCACCCACAACAGTGGGACTTATTTTTGGCGACTACCATCATAGACCCGCCAATGCGTCGGCAGTACTTATGAAGCGATTGTCGACCTCAAATCTACATTCGAAATCGATGCATCAAATAATGAGGATAGTGCCGGACGTCGACGATGGAAGCGTCATATTGGAAAACTAAAATACAATGATCAATTAATAGGGACGCCAGACGCTCAACCAAACATCTCTTGATCTTAGAAGTAGGCTCCTCTCTCTCTGTATAACTTAACTATACCCCATCTCCCCAATAACCTTCCGATAGCTGAACACCACCTCACCCTGAACGACTGTGCCTAATTTAGTAATTTTATGAAAAAGATGTTACAGCTCGATTGACAACCCACCTAAACCTACTGTCCGCTACCACCGAGCGCCTTACTCCCCGGGATAATCAAACAAATTGCAAACACGGTAGTGAGCAGCGACCGCGGTCTGAATTTCATTTCGCAAGGCGCTGCGAACAATATTTTTCCCACAAATGTAGCAAAAGTGGGTGTTGCAGGCCGGGGAGATGCACTACGACAGCATATACGTTAGAGTGTGTTTGTCAATAAGGAGATCACGCACGGTCATGTGGCTGCATCCCCCGTCTCTCTGGACCGGTGTTTTGCAGTCTGCCGATGAATATAAGTGGCAGCAAATGCCCAATAGGAAGAGTGTATACTTGGGCAATACTTCCACCCGCGCTGCTTCATTAAATGGTCCAGTTCCGAGGTGCCGTCACAAGAATGGGGAGGATCACCAATTGCAACAGATTGCTGGCACGCTTTGCACCAAATATGGTTACAATCGGGTAGGGGACAAACAAGCAGGCGGGATTCATCATGCTCCTGTCTGACTACGGGCACCGATCGTTGACATCTAAAATGACATGGTTGGCGCGCTGGAGGTAACACAGGCTAGACACTCACTTGCGGCAGTGGAGGAGAACTGAAAGATGGCTTAGTTCCATTTCTTCCCAAATCGCATATTGCCGCTCATCGATACCAATTTGCTGCACGAGAAGTCCCGAGATCGCTAAGGAGGGTGAGTTAATAATGGGTGCTATAGAGGATGTACAAACCTTTGGGTTGATGGTTATTCTTTTCCGTCATGCAAACGGGACACATGACTGGGAAACGATGCTCTTCGATCTTGGAGCAAATATGTCCTCGGATACAAGTTCTGCATATCGAATGATTGCATTCAAGATCCACACTATTGTCCACAGGTTGTTCTTCCATGCATATTACGCATGAAAAGTTGCGTGGGAGTGAGGCAGCCAGAGCTTGCATCTGGTCTCGAAGTTGCAAATCTTCAACATCGAAAGATTGCTGCAACTCGAGGGCCGCGGCTGAACTCAGACTGTCGAGCCCCCACTCATGTCCTAGGTCTTCCTTGACAGTATCATAAATCGATGACCATGTGTCTGCATCGCGATCGCGAACGTTGTTCATAAATTTATCGGATGACGAGGACGAGTGCAAGAAGTTGCGCGGAGCCAGCCGTGATGATCCAGCTATTCCGTTTGAGGGCTGTGAAGCGAAGCGCTATTCCCTGCTGCTCTGCACGATCTTGGAAGATACCTGAAGTGTTACTACTTTCTTCTTCTCGATACTCAAAGCATCGTCCAGGCGTTGAATCTCTCCTTCGAGTGTTTCGTTTTCTTTAGTCAGCCTCTCACTTTTCTGTGTCAATCCAGCCACTTCGGCTCGCAATCTCAGAACAGCTAGGCTAGATTCGATGACAGTACGCTGCATGCCTCGCATGTCTGCAGGTGGTCCATTTGATACGAAGATGTGGCCTGACAAGTTATTAAGTAGCTGAGCTTGCCATTGCAGACCACTCAGGGAAAGAAGATGGCTGTCGGCAGCAGGTAATATGCTAGCCAGACGTGAGACCGCCTGGTCAATCGATGTATTGAGAATAAGACCAGCACCAGCTGGATAGCTTGGCCGTGGGTGAGAATCGAAAATCACGAAAACGTCCATCTCCAGTCCTTTAATCACCGTGCATGCGATGATCTCAGGAGGGCGAGTGATGATGACGGTAGCAGAGGAGCTCAAGGTTTGCATATATCTGAGAAGATCATGGAGATGATAAAACCGATAAATGAACAACTGGCTTACTCCAGGGTACGCCTAAAATGCTTCGCCTTTGGGGGACCAAATCGTGTTGCTACAAGCTTCAGAGACTTCTTGAATAGGGGAACTTGCTGGATTTCTTCCACGTCCAAGTGCAAGTCGCTTGACCATTCCGAACAAATGGAGATAATATCCTATGGTATGACGTTTCGTGAGAAGCAGTGAGGGACTACGGCCACTGGATTTGAGGGGCGCTAAATCATACAAACACTGACTTGAATGACCTCTTTGCTAGTGATAGCTCGAAGCAGATCAATCATCCTGTCTTGACTATGCATGTTGACGAGGTCAGAAAGCACTCTCGCAAAATTCATGGCTGCAAGGCCACATGCAGATATACCGCGACCATTGAACTGACTTGTGCCAGGATAAGATACGATGCGCTCCCTTCCTTGCAAAATATCTACAATGTTATCGTTGGGTCCGTTGAGGTGAATAGTTGCGACCATAGCTGTTGTGTAATGGTTGTGATCACTGATCAGAAGGAATGAATGAACGGCGTCAACGTCAACGTTGGGATGGTACTAGGTGCGGCACCACTTCATCAGTTTGTCACGTGACATTTGCTTATACTCTGGACCGAACTTTGCCCGAAGTTCGAACTTGCATCTCGCTCTCGGTATCTTTCATTGCGATCAGAGACGAAACGTGATGCGTGGTACTTGTTCTGGAGTAACTTGGTGTGCATTGAGTTGCGCAGCCATATACTGATCAGATCAAGTACTTACAACGTCCGCCGGAAATTTAACAATTCGACTTTGTGCTGTTCTCAGTGTTGAGCGGGTTCTGTATCTCGACGACTGAAATATAGCGTCCTTCGAGCGGGAGCGTTACCTCTTTGTATGGATCGTGATGAAGGTATGGGCTCAATTGGTGTATCTTCGGGCCAGTTCAATCATCAACGTGCTGAAATGTACATTACGGGATGCCTATCTCGACGAGCTCACTCGCGCGAGATATTGCTATACTAGATGTTTGTTCTCGTCAACATGAGTGAGCGCATGTCACGCTCTTATCAGACACCCGACTGTCCAGACTCTGCTAAAGTCAGCTACAGTTACCGAGGCGTACTTCCTGGCACGAGACCTTGCTTCTGGAAGATTACAATGTAAGATGACGTTCATGTGGTCTTTCTCTTATCTCCAGGAGAGTATTTATCTCTGCTGTTTCTCGTGCGACATGCTTGGAGCTTCCATCAATACCTGTCATGGATTTCGACCTCGTTGTTCGCAATGGTACCGTCGTGACTGCCTCGGACATTTGGGAGTCTTGTGATATTGGAGTCAAAGTACGAATATCACCTGATATTGTGTTCAATTTTTACTAACGTGTCACTGCCTATGTCAGGATGGAACCATCGTCGCTGTTGGTCCTCGCCTTCCAGCCGCACCGGGCGCGCAAGAGATTGACGCTGAGGGGGCTTTTATAACTCCTGGAGGAGTCGACGCTCATGTTCATCTGAGCCAGGCTAGTACATTTCCTCATCTTTTGCTCAGATATTTATCATATTGTTTAGTTTTTTGAAGCTACCGTCGGTGTGGACATTGATCACTCTATCATCACGAATGGGAAGGTCCCCGATCCCGAAAACTTTGTCGGTGACACGTTCGACACAGGCACACGCAGTGCGATAGCTGGAGGAACGACAACAGTAATTACGTTCGCTTCTCAAATGAAGAAGGATGAGAGCATCATTGCTGTTATCGAGGATTATCACAAGCTCGCCAAGGACCAGTCCTACTGCGACTATGCTTTCCACGTCATCATTACCAATCCGACGCCCCAAATCGTGGAAGACGAATTCCCGCGGATGGTTGATGAGTACGGAATTACGAGTGTGAAGCTGTATATGACATACAAGCCATTAAAGCTTCTGGATTATCAAATTCTCGATGTCATGTATTCCGCCCGGAAACTTGGTATCACCACGATGGTGCACGCCGAGAATGCCGATGTTATCGACTGGATGACGCAGCATCTGGAGCAGAAGCTCATGACGCATCCTTACCACCATGGTACATCTCGACCTCCGATCGTGGAGGCTGAGGCTACGGTGAGTTTTTTGTGCTTTGTTGAGCTGACAATGACATGCTCACATTGTAATAGAACCGCGTCATTTGTTTGGCTGAACTCATGGATACGCCGATCCTGCTCGTACATATATCTGGTGGGCCTGCCACGAAGCACATCCGCGACGCACAAACGAGGCTGCTTCCGATCTACGGTGAAACGTGTCCCCAGTACATGTTTCTTCTCGCCGATTCGATGCGAAAGGGGGATTTCGAAGGTAATGATACCTCTGCATTTCTGTTCATTGTCTTATGGACTATAACATGCAGGCGCAAAGTGCATATGCTCGCCTCCGATCCGGGAGGACAAGTCTGATCAAGATGCCATTTGGGCTGGAGTCAAGAACGGAACATTCACTATCGTTTCTTCAGACCACTCTCCTAGCAAATTCAATCATCCGAACGGAAAGCAGCGTGGGCTCAAAGACGGAAACCTTCCATATGGCAAATTCCGTCTCGTCCCGAACGGGGTGCCTGGTGTGGAGACCCGTGTTCCGCTTCTATTTTCCGGCGGCGTCCTTTCCGGGCGTATTTCTCCACAGAAGTTCGTCGAGGTCACATCCACAAACCCAGCTAAGCTATACGGATTGAAGAAAAAGGGCAGTATCGCCCCCGGCTTTGACGCTGATCTGGTTATCTGGTACTCGCAAACAAAGTTCCAGCCATTCAAGCTCACGAACGAGATGCTGCACCATGATGTCGACTATACGCCGTTTGAGGGTATCGAGTTTAAGAATTGGCCTAGGTACACAATCATCAGGGGTAAGGTAGTATTTAGCCATGGGGAGGTAGTTGGGGAGATGAAGTACGGTCAGTACATCCGGAGGGAGCAGAGTCTACTTCCAGGACCAAGAGATATTTGGTTGAGCGAATGGCGGCCCTAAGGTTGGTACGAGAGGCACCTAAACCATTGATTGTTGCAGTCCAATTTTTCATGCTTCCATTGATATCTAGCACTCTGGTTACCGTATGATATAGCTATAGCCTATACAAACTGTACTAGTTTAACTATGCACTTCCAAATGAATTCGACCGTCGCCCTTACCGTCTAATACTAGGCACACATACATTTACTGGCAGGTCCATAACATATCACCCTGATACTGCGCTCGACTACCTGACGATCTCTCAGTTTGGTACGTCTTGGCCTTCTCGCTACCTCTTGGATGTGTAGGTGGCTTCCATCTCCTCTAATGTGATGTTGCATTCATACTCTGTATCCTTGCTGATTTCAAGGGTTTTCTCAGACACTAAGCCCTGAAATACATCCACCCATCTATCACTGTGTTCTGACTTTTTGGCTTGTATTTTGATCTACACTCATTTCTGAGTGTTGCTATCCCTTTCTTCCACCATTTTTGACACGCTCAGGGGATGCATACCTCTAGTTCCACCTTCGAGCTCCAAACCGCTGGATTCCGAACACTGCTTTGAATCCAGATTCTGCGTACAGATGCTCCTCACGAGAACTTCGCTATCGATGGCATATCTATCAAGTGTTTGTGGTTCGACTCGAGTGGGATTTCGGCCATTCAGGATTCGTCATTCCCCTGCAAGTCTATCCGTTTGGTTATCCTATATGATTCTATCAAGGCTCAGTCTATAAGAATTGTATCTCCATGCGAATGACGCAATGATGTGATGCATGCGCTTATCAGAATATGCACCTATATATACATCAGTTCTCGATGTAAACGTTCGTCGTACTCTCCACCTTCTCCCCCAATCCCAATAGCTCTGTCAATTCATTAACTTGATCATCATCCGCATCAACACTTGATATTGACCGCAGTGCAGCCAGTACTTTCGACACCGCTGCCTCCATGGAGCGCGACACGTTCTGTTGTCCTCCCTTCACATGTCGCAGGGTGTGTTGGACCAGGATGGGGACGGCGCGTTGCACATCCTCGTCCAGCCGCTGCGAGGATGCATACGCCCAAGCTTTGCGAATGAGTTTCCAGCACAACTTATTTGTATCCATCGGTGGGGAGATGCCAGCCGCATCCGTGCTAAAAGTGGTGTGATGCTGTTCCCTCGCGAGGATGGCTGCTAGGTAGAGCGCGAGATGTCCTGCGTCCAACTGAGACAGCACCCGCGTGTGCCCACTGCGATTCTCGTTTTCCAGGGTAGCGGCGATCCCAGCGCATCGCTCAAGGTGCCCGTCGTTCACTAAATACTCGTCCCATTTGCGCGTCTGCTGGAGCGCAAAAATCACTTGAATGTAACACAGGTCACGCCCTGATGATCGCGCACTCTCTGAGAGGGGCAAAGCATTAGAAGGCTGGTTGTCTACAGGAGGATCGATGGAAAGAGCAGCGGTAGAGAACAGCGCAAGGGAAAGATTGACCATCATGCTCGGTGTTAAGTCATCTGAAGCCACCTTTCTCCGGACTGCGTGAAGCGCCGCCATTCCAGAGTGACGTGTTCGGGCGGGCATATCCGGACCCATGGCTGCACAAATGCTCGAGTAGTAGACCTGCATTAAATTTTCAGGCCACTCTACCTCGCCAACCGTGCTCATGGCTTGAAGGGCATCGCCCACAGCAAGGTGGTCCTTGGTATCGCGGTGATGAACAATGAAGTCAAGCAACCATGTAAAGTCTTCCCTGCGGCGTTTTCCATGGTTGAAGCCAACCCTGGTGCATTTCCACAGTGCGCGGCAATCACCAGCACTGTACGTGAGGTCCGCGTCGGCAACGATACTAAGGTGAAGTGCAGTTCTGGCGCTGCTGAGACACTGATATTGGTGATCCGCGGCAATTGGGTTCAAGGGAGATTTGATATTGGCTCTTTGTACCATGCGTCTGCAAAGTTGCAGGGCCCAGATATGTAAATTATGGTCGCGGAATAGCTGGCGATACTCGACGGCCTCGATGAGAACCGAGATAGGGCGGAAGAGCATTGCGATATCAACATCTTCGAGACCGTGCTCTTGGTCGTTCGTGGATGCTGCTGATAAACCCTGTTCCAGTGTTGCTTGTAGATCTCGATCCTGCAAGCTTTGTACGACTTGCAAGAGCATAGATTCGAGTTCGTCCCTGTAGAACACATTAACCAACACGGTGAATAAACTAGAAACCAACGGCTCACCCCCTGTTGAGACGAATCAAAGCATCCTCCTCAAGAGGGATGCCGATGATGAGCGCAGCAGCTGTCAAGCAGTTAACAATCACAGCCCTGGGAGGCAGTGGAAAGACGAGTAAACGAGTGATGGCATCAATAGCCCACATGCGAAGGTGCCTCTCTTGCTTGTAATGTAACAGACAGTGCGGGATGGAGTACGACATCCACGCCAAGTATGAGTCGGGTATCCGGGGGACGAAAGGATGGTGCCCTAAGCTCAGTCGGAAGGCACTGCGTATCATGTCGCAGATGAATTGCATTTCCATATCTTGCAGTACAAGGAAGGTGAACCAAGATATATCGGGAGGCTGTGTCGCGACCGGTATCGCTGATACTGACTCTAACGGGTCAAAGAACAGCTGATGCATATCCCGGCCATGCAACCGCGTGAAGTATAGGTGGATCAAAGCCTTCCCGCAGGCAAGTGCACGCGTCTTCGAATGGAGCCCGAGCTTGGGCTGCCTGCCCTGAGTGCTTTCGAAGCAACCTAAAAAGGTGTCACGTAGTTGGATGATTGCAGCAGAGACGTCAATTAATTTGGGCCATTCAACCTCAGGAACCATAAGCGCAGCTGAAGTAATGACATTTGGATCTGTAGTTGTCTCCATTATCCAGCGAACAGCAGACGCGTCGTGAGGAGCGTCCGCATTGTGCGGCAGCCCAGAGTCTCTGTCATCAATATACCCGCGCGCACCATTAACGCATAGTCTGAGAGTGGAAGCTATTCCAAAAAGGAGCGATGGGACGCGGCCCGCTAGAGTGATATGCAATCTCCGGATCGAACGACTGATTCTTTGTAATGCGAGGCGGAGGATTGTCGATGTAGTGGTCTGGAATGGACAAGTCGGAGAAACGACGCAGGATACAACGATGGCGCCGTAGAACAGGGCCCCAAATGCCATCGTCAACACTACTGGAGTTGCAATGGTCGGCTGCTGCGTCCAAATGCTAGCACCTAGAGCAATTCCGAATAAGAGCAGGGAGATCTGGATCAACAACGGAAGCGCCTCCAAGACAGCACTAAAGTACCACGTCTGGAGACCATCCATCTTCTGTTGCCTCAGACGACCGCGGGCGTCGATCGGGCCACGTCCGCAGCGGACGAAGTGCCCTAGCCATTGCTTCCCCAGTACGGCACCCAGCGCAGCAATGAGACTGGTGCTGAGACTGGCGTACATGAGACACTGTATCCAAATCTCAGTCTCCCCTGGTCCATTCCATTGTGGGAGGTCGGGCTGTCGACCATCAAACGTAGTGTTATCGAGTGTGTGTATAAGCAGTTTTAAAAGGGCGTTTGTCATCTTAGTTTCGTCCGGACTGAGCGCGGATTGCAGAGAAACTATGAAAGTGGTGCTGACTGCGGAAAAGAGACCTGACTATGTATTGTGGTCAGGATCGCAGTCCCACATAGGAACACATCAAGATGGTTTTAACTGCTAGGCACTCACAAATATAAGAACGATATCCATGTCACCCTTGTGTTTTTCAAGAAACTCCTCGACATGATACCCAGCCTCGCGTTCATATATCGTCCAAAATTGACCTCGAATGTTCTCGTCGTTGTTCCGATCAAGCTCCGAGTCAGATTTGCTGGACGTCCCGCCTGTCACAGACAAGCTCGAACTAGAGGTGCAAGATCACATAGTATCGCTTCGTTCGTGAATATTTGAGGTATTCAACAGGAATTGCTCAGTGCTCACTAGGGTACTGAAGCGCTTCGTGACTGGCCCACCAAGGTAGCACTGCGGCTCGTATGCGTCGAGTAGAACATAATACTAATCCAAGAACTTTCCAGTAGTGTTCCCGGGTGAATTGGAGAACGCAATGCGATGTGTAACACCTCTGAGAAGCTACTCGGAATCCCTGCTAATCGGATGGGCCGCGCCGCCGCAGTAAGTTTTTGAAGGCTTTGGCTAACCTAAACTGCACTCTTGCTCCATTCATACTCATATGCATGTCACGTGATCGCGATGTATTTGATGTTCCACTGTCATTGAATTTCCACATCCCCCTAAGGTCCTCATAATGTAATAAAGAAATTCTCAGACTAGTGAGTTAAACCCGATGTTCGTAAACGTTGATCCATCATCACTTACTAGCCATGTGCTAATTGTTTAGATGTGCCTCGCGTGACAGGCTGTAGTCACCAAGTGTTGCTGAGGATGATTGTTTATGGTTTTTGATACGCAGCTGCGATTAAATTATACACCAGCCAACAGCCTAAATGCGAACTACGTGCCTCAAGTCGAAGCCACCAGCCAGTCTGTGACCCCAACGGACCCCACTCCGAAGTAAAAAGTCGAAGCCATCTTTAAAATGAGTCTGGTCTAAGGGAGATAAGGCGTACGATCATATCTGTATGAAATCCATATGGTCAGCGGCATCGGCACTTGGATATCACTGAGTATTAAAGCACATTAATGACCATTGAAGCTGTATTCATCGAGATCAAGTACGACCGTTTGATAGACCATGATGCATATGTTTACTACTACTGCTAATGTACCAGTATGCATGAACTTCTGAGATCGGACTTTGAACTATTCAGTTTGAAATTCCCAACAATGGCGGGCAGCTACTCGACCAGGGACCTGGTGCTACTACCTGCTCAACGCCAGACTCCAGCTGTGTCATTCCTCTGTATCTTGCTGCCAAATTTGCAGAATCGTGAGCGCCGTCTCATGTCCGAGTCGGCACCTATGAAATTTAAAAGCTATCAACAGTCTAGGCGACCGCAGTGTAACTGTGTTGGACCTGAGAACCCGAGTCCGGTACCGTTCAAGAGCAACTAGACTTGGCACCATTCAGTTTAACTCAAGTCCAAGTGGGATAACCTGGCTATTCAATTGCAAGCTCATCGAATAGCCTTGTGTATCAAGGAAGTAGTCAGCACGCAGCTGAACTCTCTCACTCTTTCAACTATGCCGCTATCCAAATCGTGTTTGGCCTCGCAATGCCAGATTGGGCTTATCTGCATCTCAACAAGGCTCACAGTGCATGTCACATTATGCACGCGATATCGGAAGCTGACAGCAAGTGCTATGGTCGGCCTGGGCCCGCCCCCAGTCCATCGCCTCCCGAATGACACGTATGGCTATAGCCTATTAGCATTAGTACTGGCAGAAAGGTAAGCTGTCCGTGCCATCCATTTTGCCCCTTGCCCCTGCATGACCTATATGCCATCAATGTGGCATGAATATGGCCAAAGACGGGCTGCCAACGTTACGACACTCTGGGAGATGCTTGAAAGTTTCTGCGTATTCTGATGGACTGTTTATTGATTCAAATCTGTCTGTTCTAGCTCGGAGAATCTGCGGCGTTGCGATGATATTGGTTACTAGCATACGTCCTCTATTTCCGATAGAACGTTATCGACAACATACTACAACCTATGGGGGTTTATGGGCCTCAAATAGCCAATAATAGCCCATCTTATTAACCTTCTGATCAGTATCTTTGTCACTATAGGTTGGCACCTCAGGGTGTCCCCGGTGTCCCTCCGTGGTTCGAGCACATTTCTGAGTCCAGCCCAGCCTGGGTTTTTGACTTTTCTGAAACAGCGAGACAGCAATTACTACCGTAAGCCTCGTGCTGCGCGCGCCCCTTGATAATCTCATGTGATGTCTTATCATTCCCTTTTGAAACGTTTCAAACTTAGCTCTGTTTCATCACTGAGGAGTGCTTCGGAGATTCATGTACCATTCTGCAATGTTTCTGAAGTTTCGAAGTACAGCCAACGATACTTGAATAAGAAGTATCTTGCCAATGGCCCGGTAACCCAGGCTCGGCACGAATCGAGGGCATCAGACCTCTAATCGATATGAACGTGAGACATCGATACGAGACAATGTTGTTCTTGTGGGTAACTAGTGGGGCCTTGCAGTAATTAATCATGAGATGCCCTTTGACAAATTCGGTGCTCCATTTGTGTTCTGCTGCACATGGCTGTTGTGTATTTTCGGTCAGTGGTGTCAGAACTAGGACTGGGGAGAAGTTCATCTCCGGCCCTACAACATATGCATGAGATAACGGGTATGGACTGAATGAAGTTCGAGTGAGATTACGGGACTACGACGATTAAATCCCAGGTCAACCAATTTCATGACCAAAGGCGCGAATGTGGAGACGATGCCAGAACCAAAGCCAATAATTCATTACCTCAATATTACTATCAACCATTACACCGAGGTCATCGTTTTATGTAATCGATGACTCGGAAAGCTGGCCGAGGCTTCTCAACTGCGCTAAACTCAAATGTTTCGAAATTCAGATCAGTTTTTCGATCAGGACACTGACCTGGTGACCGGCAATACATTTGGGATGATTATAACAACCCTATTCGGGTCCACATTCAGGTATGATTATTTTATTTATCCTGAAGTATCCAAGGCGAGGAAAAGTGCAGTGCATGTTGGCCTAGAAATGGCAATGGGTATTAGGACCCCCTGGGGCCTGCAAGGCCTGTATAGCTATGAGGAATCTTGGCGAGGGGAATTCCTGGAATGGAAGCTTAAGGGAAGGTTTGATGTGGCTAATAACGTGATGCGTATATGGTTCTGTCACCACATTCGGTAACTCCTAGTGTATACCACATCAAGTCTGAAGTGAGAGTTTCGCTTCACCTTCCTTAGGTTCCCCCCTCTTAATTAGAATCTGTTATATAGCTCTCTCTTTAATCCATTTTTTTCTCACCTCTGTCGATATGCTCACTTTCGCCGATAGGCTCAACGCCCAGGTCCGTACATCTCCTGGGCCACCGCAGCCAGTTCATCTTCTTCATAACAACGTTTTCTTCCTTCTTTGTAGGTTGCTGACTCTGCAATCGGACGATGGTTTCGCCTAGAGGGCTCTGGTCATGCCCGCGAGCGCGAAGGTTCACGTTTCATGGTTCGTTGCTTGTTCTGAAGCCCCATCACACCTCATAATCTGATGTGATTTGCATCCACCAGACAGATGTTCGTGCAGGTATAACGACCTGGGTGAGAAACAATGTTTCACCGTTGAAATTGTTTTTGTTGACACGCTTGTCAGGCGGCCATGGCGTACATCGTATGTTTTTGTTCGTCACCGTCAAATCACCATTCAATTAAATGATCTTTCCCTGCAAGATCTCTGTCAACGCTTCCATCGTATCCGACTCTGGGGGAACTTGTGTCTGTGAAGCTGCCAATAACTGTGTCACCGATGCGGCATATCTCCAATGTATCCAAGAGGTGAAACAAGATCTCATCACTTCCACGGCAGCCATGTCTGCCCTTGCATCAATCTTAATGGGCGCCCTTGCCAATTTGCCTGTGGGTATGGCTCCAGGGATGGGACTCAATGCCTATGTACGTCCGTCAGCAACCTGACGACCATCTCGATTCTACTAGACATGCTAATTAACACCATTTCGACAGTTCACCTACTCTGTTGTAGGTTATCACGGCAGCGGCTTTATCACCTACCGGGAAGCTCTGGCCGCTGTCTTCTTGGAAGGGTAGGTCAATTTCTCCCGTGGGACTCCTTGCCTGACTAGACGCCCTTTGCAGATGGATCTTCTTCATTCTATCCCTTCTCGGTTTACGTCAATGGCTTGCTCGCATTATGCCGCAATCACTTGTCCTTGCTGTAGGTGCTGGTATCGGACTGTACATTGCGTAAGTTCATGGTTCTTCGCCGATCGTTTATGAACCTGCGACTGATGTTGCCATCGTGCCACAGCTTCATCGGATTGAGTTCGTCCACGCACGTTTCTTCTCATGGGTTATCGTTATTCATCAGTTTCACACAGCATCCGGTGGCTTGAATGTGATTGGAGGTGACACCACCAACCTTGTTGGCCTTGGCGGCTGCCTTGAGTCAGGTACGCCCATTTAATTGACATGGCATCGCTGCATCGCCATCGAGTCTGACAGTTTACATTTATAGATTGGTTGGAAGGTCTACCATACTTCTGTGGTAGTCAAGTTCTACGGAGTCCTACCACATGGCTTGGTATCTTTACCGGCGGGTATGTATGGTCCGCGTCTTATCTTTATCTTTACTTACGGCATAACCTAACCTAGTATCCTCACGATCCTATTGATGCTTTATCGTGTCAAGGGGTCCCTCCTAATCGGTATCTTCATCACTTCCATAATTTCTTGGCCACGAAACACTTCTGTCACATACTTCCCACACAACGAAGCTGGTGATCAGCTGTTCGATTTCTTCAAACAGGTCGTTACTTGGCATCCCTTACAACATATTGGTAATGCACTAGATGTAAGCAAAATCCCAACGATATACAGGGCGAAGCTCATGCTTTACTTCTAAGTATAACTATGGTAAAGGAAAGGTGTGGTACGCACTAATAACCTTCCTTTATGTCGACATCTTGGGTGAGTGTTTCAATAATGCCACGAAATCACATCTGGAATCAACATTTTATTAAGATACCACCGGTACTCTTTACTCTATGGTTAAATTTGCTGGCCTTCGTGATCCCGTCACCCTTGATTTCGAAAACTCTACCATCGCATACTGTGTTGATGCCTTCTCTATCTCCATGGGTGCACTCGCAGGTACAAGTCCCGTCACGGCATTCATTGAGAGTGCCACAGGTATTGCTGGTATGAACATTATTTCCTTAATAAATCATCTTGAATCTGACTCAGCTTGCAGAGGGGGGTAAGACTGGTATTACTGCAGTCGTCACTGGACTCCTCTTCTTCCTCTCCGTCTTTTTCGCGCCCATCTTCGCCTCCATTCCACCCTGGGCTACCGGCGGCGCGCTCGTTGTCGTCGGCTCGCTCATGATCCGAAATGTTCGCGATATCAACTGGGACTATGTCGGCGATGCTGTTCCTGCTTTCCTCACCATTCTATTTATTCCTCTGTCATACAAGTGAGTCTCCTGAACATGTTTCAAAGAGTTTCAGATGTTAACAGCAAGCCACAGCATTGCGTATGGCGTCATTGTTGGCGTGTTCTCCTATGTCATCATTAACGGCTTCGTGTGGATTGTCTCCAAGATCTCCAACAATGCAATCATGCCACCCAACTACGACGCATCCGAGCCCTGGGTCGTCCCCCCCGGCGGTATCGTGCCCGCCTGGCTCAACGTCCTGTTTAGGCGTAACACCCGCATCATCGAGGAGTCGCCCTCAGAATACCCGTTCCAGGTGCGCCAACGCCACTCGAATATCTCAGTCGACACGACGTCGCAAGAGAATCCTTTGACACCTAGGAAGTCAGGTTTCAAGTTCACGAGTGAAAAATAAAACGAGTTATTGTTGTAGTGCTGCACCTATCATTCTCGATTTCGCGATATCCACTCTGCTATCGATCTCCCTCCGCTTTGCCTCGGACCCACTACCAGGCTTCCACTCTTTTGGCTTTGAGATTCTATTTGTTATCTATTGCATATATCATACGTATCGTATATTGTACATAGCAGATGTGGTGGTGGACTTTTGTTCTCGCTGTTGTATTTGTCCCATAGTCTTGCCATAGATAGTGTTTGTACAGAACAGCCTGTGGGGTTCATATATGACGCTTTATCCTGGAGTATATTACATATGATACCAGCCTCATTTTCCCACCGGGCACACGGACACTGAAGAAATGCCCGGTAGTTGTACACCGCTAGGGATTTGTTGAATATCCGTTCCATCAAATTCACATTCTCCGATGTGTGTTTCAACTTGCATCTTGTGTAAGCACAGCAAGGCTTGATGACCGTGACATCGGTCCAGGGATATTAGTCAGGCACAATCTAGAGGGTGATCATTTGTACCATTTCGTCTGATGCCGTTGGTGATACTGACCGTCAGTTAATGGCCTGACTGTTGCCTCGAGTATATAGCGATGAGCACTTAGTTGATTAGGACGATTCAATCATCCGCACTGCCCGACCACAAGGACGGCGGATCTTGGGCGGCTCGCGGTAGCTTGGGAATCTCACCTCTTGAGAGCATGTGGTCACCAGCCTCGGCCCTCGCGCGCCATCAGTTTAAGACCAAGTTCACGCACAGAAGTGATGACCGACGTGGTGACTGCCGCAGGGTTTAACCACATATTAGCCGTTGTTGGTAGGGCACTGAAGCTAGCATGATCGGCTGAAAAAACAACGTTGTTTAGCCCCAGTCACTAGCTCAGTATATTAGGCCTATAGGTACCAGGGGCATGCCTGCATGAAACGCTCCGGGTCATGTGCCTCGTTGCTTATGACCTGTCGAAAGAATTGACCTTGCGACCCGCAGGAAATACTTGCATGATTGGAGGATGGTCGATGATACCTAAAATCAAAGTCTGTACGATTGGAACACCAGCCAATAGCAAAGTGAACTTGTACATCACATGTTATGCAAGTGAAACAATACCACGAGCGCCCATCCATACATCTTGATATAGAAGTGCTGATCCGGGCCAAAAAAAGTCGATTTGATGCAATTTTGATAAGTACCACTGTGTTGAAACCCGATGTAAGCCGAAGGGCCGAGTACCTACCTTCGAGCACGGGTATCATACCTGTCACAGTATTTTGCAAGCCACCGGCGCTGGCTGAGGAACACCACGCCGTCCACCTGCTCATCATTATGAGCGCGGAATGGTAATTTGGATGGTTTGAGTTTTCTTCGAAGGATGTAGGTAGGTGCACGAGTTAGCAATGACCGTGAAATTAAACCCGAGAGCGCTCATATCCGCCAGCACTGGCCTGATCAATGCGCAAACAATCGTGTGTCCCACGACTATGCATCTCGGTTGGCCCAGGTAGGTGCAAAACTGAAAATGCCTCAAATTGCGACAATAATACATAACTGGAAAGCAGATAAAACGGAGTGATATTGTAACCAAAACAGAGCGGAAAGAATATAAACGGAGTGGTAATGTCAGGGATCACAGAGAGATACGCGGGAAAACCCGATTGCATAACGCCCAGTGGTGCATACTAATATCCGCCTTGCGAACTCTGTACTACCTGCTGGTGCTGCAGAGACGGGGAAGCCATTTTCATGGTCTGTGGGGGCGGCGGACGAGGGGGGGACTGATGGGAAGGTAGTGGGATAGACGACGGCAGTGGAGATGGGCTGTTGTGCTGCATATGGGGCGACATGACATACTGATTTGGTAGCAATTGACCGACCTGCGGAGGAACATTGATGCTCCCGGCACGATTCGCGGTTCGCATACCATTAGCAGACGGTGTGCGCATTGGTAGATTGCCCGGCGTAATATGAGGGCTCGGCGTCCCTTCGTTAAGCTGCGCGGGCTGCTGATGAGGTGACGCTAAGCCTGGCCACTGCCGTCCCTGAGGAAATTTGTGGAGATTGGCGCCACCCGGCAGCTGCACATTGAAGTGGGTGCCATTCGGCACGAGATGCCCTTGGTACGGAACTTGCGGGCGTCCCTCCGGGTTCTGTGCAAGCGCCATCTTAAAAGATTGCATTTGCTGCAAAGTGATGCCATTTGGCTGACGCATGACGGCCCCGTTGGGCAGGGCATAACCGTTCATAGGGATGCTGTAACTACTGAGTGGAGGCGGGACGTGCTGGGACTCGGTCTTGGGACGCGCTGGTGAGCCGGCCTGATTGGAGTGGGAAGGATCAGCAGGGGGAGACATCTGCACGTCTGTAGACTGATGTGCTGTGCCATTGATGGTCGTGGTGGTATTAGTAGCGATGCCATTGGGTGCAGCGATCAGCCTGACTGAGTCGCCATCTGACGTAGGAGTGCCAACATGGTTTCCATTGACCCCGTTCGTGGGAGTAGTGCGAGGGGGAGAGGACTGCTGCACTACAGTAGGCGAACTTGGGGATGCGAGATTCCCAACAACCGGAGGACGCATGGGACCATTTGATGAGATGCGCATCTGCGGAATGGCAGATGGCGGTTGCATCGCTTTGACATGTGCTTGCATGGATATCGGCACACCATTCGGCATTGGAATGCCCGCAGGAGCCGCACGAGTGGCCGACAGCGGCATACCCCCAGGATATACCCGCTGAACGCCATGTTGATCGCGGCGGATACTGTACTGGGGTTGCACTCCAAGGCGGTATGGGGAGACAGTGTGTTGGCGGCCGTCCACGGTCACGACAATGGTGTTGTCTGTCGTAAGCGCCTGATGGTCTTGATCTGACAACAATGTCATCATTTGACGGAGATACTTTGGATCATAGTCATCGATGAGGATCCGATCTTGCTCGTCCGTACCCTCAGGTCCAACGGTGGGCTCATCATCTTGATCGAACTTCCAGCGCTCACGTAGACGAGACGACATCTCTTCATCATCCTCGGGAATGATGGCATCCATGCGCCGTGCAAACGCTTGCCGTCGTCGTATGAATGTGGAATCATCGCCACGAATTCCGTAGCGTTGAATAAAAGCGTCGTGACGATCGATCGTAGAGTTGCCTAGACGAGTCACACGGTGGCGGACATAACGCACACGCTCAGCTTCCTCGTCTGCTACATTTGGTGATGGTGTCGACGGGCGCGAGGAGGAAAAAATTGCCTTCCAGTGACGTCGCGGAAAGGAAAATGTTGGGCGTTGATAAGGATTCTGAAAGAAAGGGTAAGCGTTTGAAATATGTACTGCAAGTAGTCCTACCTCCACCACATCTTCATACCCGTGGTCACGTTCCTTTTGGCTCGCAAGGTCACGCTCCATGGCTGCATTAATGAGGCTGAGACGTTCCTTAGGCCGGATAGATGCCTCGACAGCGACAGCCGGAGATCCCGGGTCCCCGCTCTCTCTCGTACGTATCTTGAGTCCAGTGATACGATTGGATTCGATCTTGGGTTTCTTTGCTACTCTCTCTTTGTCGAGTAGAAGCTCCTCGTCCTCTTTAGTACCCAACGAGGGAAACTTGCGCTTGAGCTCGGCGAACTCAAAGCGCTTGTCCCAAACCTGTAGTGTTTGCTGCGTGTAGTCACGCTTGAGATTTTCTCGAGAAAGGAGCGTTTTAGCGAGCTCTAGACCCTGCGTCAACTCGTTCTGCAACCGCAAAAGCTTATCAGATGACGTCGCCTGCGAAGCACGGGTTTTCCGAACAGCCTTGATCTCGCGACGGCGGAAGCAAATGTAAGACTCATTGAGCACGTCCGACTCATCGAACTAATAAGTAGTTTAAACAACCTTATTCGAATCATACACACATAGATATACTCACATTCAAACTGGGTATAATTCGGTGGCCTTTTCTCTCGATGCGGCGATCACGCCAATAAGGATAAATGACTTTTGCCAAGCGTAGTAGTAGAGCAGGTTGGGGTATCCATGTCGGCACTGTAAATGTGGCAAACATAGAGGGTGGTAATGGAGAGGAAAATGCTTCTTGATAGTCCGTAAACGGAGGAAATGCCATGCCGGACTCGAGGCCCTGTGACATAAATCAGCGCTGCATTGTGATTGTTAGGTAAATAAACTTACATGGTGCAAGAACTCCGTCGTGTCATGGGTGACCTTCTCAAAGATGCCCATTACAAGTTCGAACTCGTCTTCCGTGATAGCAAGAGGTTGTGTCGGCTCGGGCTCCTTGCCTTTCGCCTTGGCACTTCGTTGGGACAGACCAGAGCGAGTGGTTGCGCCAGAGGCTGAAAGAGCACCCTGGGCACTCGTGCCTTCACCACGCGCCTCCTCGTTGTTTCTGTCGAGCCACTCCTTATCGCGTTCATCCATATAGTACGTGAACAAATCGATGAGCGCGTTTGTGACTGCCTCATCGACAGTCTCTGAGGATCTGATGTACGCGCCTGGGTCTTCCCAACGCTGAGAAGGATATAACTCGTCATAGTTGTCGACGATACCGGTGGAGTCTGGTGTGGGAATATATGCGGCGGGTGCGACGGCCTTCTCCCCACGTGTTGAGCGACCCACCGATTGGTGTCTGTGGGACGCGGCAGACAGCACCGCCTGCAAGTGATGCTCCTAAGCGGAAATATGAGTCAGCCATCGATAAGAGATTTCCCACGACCACCAGCCAATGAGAAACAGACACGTCAGCCTGTTCAACAAGGGCATTGAAAGCGACGACGAGAGGGAAAATGACTCACATTGGCGTCCTCAGCGTCCACGCCAGCAGTGCTAATGATCCTGGCCTTTTCCTCGTCCTCGTCCAGCACGAGAGGGTCTGCATCGATGCTACCTTGGATGACCTTAAGGCGTGTCTTGTTGGTAACTCGATTGCGATTTCGAAGGGTCGAGGTACCCAGATTCGGGTTGCGGGGCATGACATGGAGACGTGGCAGGATGAAGATGAGTTCAAGGGAGACTGGCTTCTACTAGTTAAGCTCCTCGTCGTCGTCGGTGGCAGCGGCGGCGTGGTCGGAAATTTGCCGAAAAAGTCCTCGGCCCGAGATAAAACAATAAAAATCTGACAAATACCAAGGGTTTCCCCGGTGTTTGTCCTAACCAAATAATCTCACTGCAGCGCCTCAGGACTTTGTCAGGACCAATACACTAGCTACGTCAGTATGAAGCTGCCAGAATATCATCTAGCTATTATATATATGCTGGAATTCGTAGTTAGGGCACAAGAAATGGCGGGGGAACAAGAGTCTTATCAGACGAAACTCTTTGTGAGAAGTACTGGAGATGCGCACCTTTATTATGCAGCCAAGAAAGAATACATTGATGATTCTCTAAATTGTGATGAATGAGAAACGACATTCATCCAATGAGTTATCGTTGGCAACGAACATAGAAAGAGTATCCTGCATCAGAAAATCAGCTGAAATGGCATGTGCAACCAGGATATACGGGTCGCACCTATTTCCAAGTCTCAACAAAGGTGCACATGCAACAGTCAGGTAAAACGAGGATGTATGCGTTCCAAAACGCTCCCATCTACAACCTTGACCGACTACCGACATGCCAACGACCGGCAACATGCAAGTTCTGCGAATAGTGAGAGCCCAGCTTGAAGTCGCCCGTCAGATGACAGCGAACAAAAGCAAAGACCGATTGAACGATGTGTACGCATGTTTCCTACAAGGATCACCAACAAAATATGAGAATGCTGTACATTTCGGATGAGCACGAGGACGCGCGGAGCTGACTTACAAACAAGGGCAACGCTGCACGTACGCAAAATGTAAAAAAAACGGTCGATATAGGCAACGACAGCAAATACGAGACACTGCAGCCACTATCGCAATGTGGGATTGACATTGAGGTCGTCACCATACTCGCTGCTGACTCTGCTCCCATCGCACTCATCGGATGCCGATTGCAGTGAACCAATATACTCAACAGAGCACTCTGTTAACTTGGGAGCCTTTCAGAACATCGTGGGTCAATCATAGCTACAGACACTTGTCAGGTTCGTCATTGCATGATTCCCAAGCCAAGGAGACGTTACCCTGATCCCCACTCGATACTCCAGACACTGTTGCCAAAAATTACAATTTAGACAGCCTCCGGTGAACATGTTAATGTTAAGGTAGTTTGTGACGGGAGAGATGGAGGGGCAGCATGCATGACGATGAGAAATAGCGGAAGGGAATGGTGAATGAGCTAAACAAGCGGTTTCGCCTGCTCATCACTTGCACTCAGCCACGTGGGTAATAACAGTCACACATCAAGCCACAACCGGGTCAAGCTGTTCAAACTTCACAAGTCTCGGCCAGTCTCATCATACCTCCTAGCCAATATTATCGTCTTTCTCGCCAAGGCTGCTCGCCGCAAAATAAATATGCAGGCTGAAACAGATCTAATACTTTCGGGCTTAAGTCGATCTATTCCGAAACTGTTTTAGTGGTGACTACTACCGGCTGACTGAGGGCTTACCCACAGTGCATCATGATTCTGGGATCAGAACAACTTCTTTTTGTGCACGCAGTCCATGCTCTCAATGGAACGGGCTGGAGCCATTCAGCTTATGCCCGACTATGACCCACAATCACTCTGGCAGTCTCAAAAAGGTGTTATGGCTATTCATCGAGATAGTTATCCAGCGCAATTTGCACCTGTGCTAAAGCAGTTTTGCTCAGAGTCAGGATACTGCAGTGTGAAGTTCGTTCAGTTTCTTCTGTTCTGGAAATCGTGCGTTTTCACATCAGCTATCCACATTGTGTTTACCGCGGCTAGCACCAAAGTGTTTTAGAACCCACCATCTTTATGATAGAAACAGCTCGTGGTCTAAGACGTTTCAGGTGATGTTGGTTCGAAAGTTCTCCTCAGGTTATTGAGTGTCACTAATGGACAGTAGTTGATCTGTGATTGACGCGGTATCTTCGGTGATGTGGCCCGTCCTTAGTGCCATTGAGTGTCCCATAGAATTATTGACCTTCTCTTACTTTCAGAATTCTACCTATTGTGCCTCGGAGTCATGAACCTTTGCTGAGAGCTTTGCTCGGCAGGCAAGCGACAGGTTATCATACACTGGTGTATAGCCTGTACTTCACCGCGGCAGATGCGTCGCGCTGGTAGTGGTTTAAAGTTGTCTCGAGTGGTGTGGACTTGCGCGTTTATCATCAGTCTTTTGCATCCCTCCTGGAATCGGATCACAAGACTATTCTTCTCGCCGGTTTCAAGGCGCAATCCGTATGGCGTGTATCACAATGTGAATTTCGTCGGTCGCAAGGAAAATTATGTCTGATCAACCTGCTACGGCAATGCGATGATCTATTGCCACTTCTGGGAGCAGCTGATCAGATGACGTTCAAACCTATTGTCTTAGGACAAATTGTGCCCCCGAAGGTTCGTGACGGTTGGAAGTCAAGCCGTTTTGCTGGCAGTTACAAAACTGTTAAGCTCTGGGTGGAGTTGATGTAACTCGGCCACAGTTCACGACTATTCAGATCGACGGCCCTGATACCTTGGAACAACATGGTCATAACATTGCGGGGACCAGCCTCGTGCCGAAAAGTTGTTTCGGAGGCACATCTTGCCATGTGTGTCTTTCCTTTGGTTATGCTGTGGCTGCTCATACAGAACCTTTATTACAGTTCCGGATGTTGAACTAATGTCTTATGCTGAGCAACATGACGTGCTGCTGGAGCCTCAAAGACACCACTGCTAGCCGAGAATCAATTCACCCTGTAGCCATGTGAGAAGCAGTACTGCGGGTGGGACTGATGTTGCTTATTTCCTCGGTGCTTCACTGGAAACGGGATGTACATTGGGACGTAAGTCTTTGTGCCACAAAAATCATGTTTGTAAATGACTTTGGAAAACGCAGGACATTCAGAACGGCACTTTCACTCGACTGATCAGTGGTGACCCACAAAAGCCGCGACGTATCGATCATCCAGAGGACTAGGCTGCAGCGTGCCAAATGGCCTGCCACGGGATGAACAACAGCGGGAGAACGTTGTGAGCGTCTATGCACTTTGACTGATCTAAATCATCTATTGCAGACAATTTTCAAACTCGCCGAGTTGGGAACTCCGACATTGTAACTAACATTCCATGAGATGGCCCCGAAATCATCGTACAAAGCTGCAGTGTTTCTGTATTCTCTTGACGTGCGTTTTGGAGTTCGAACTTGTTCGACAGTGCCAAGGAATTTTAATGAAATGTTGTAGACTTGTGACACCAAAAGGCGGCCTCACTGATTGCGTATATGTTGTCGTTGTCTCACATTAGAGTGACTGGTTCTTCGCATGTACGAGAATGATGAACTATCACTTGACCATGAAGAGAGAAGATTGTGAAATATGGTGCTGCTAGAGGTGATACGCCACCAAAACTGTGAAGGGGAAGTGGATACAGGAAGTTACTGGTGCACAGAGCGATGAGCTTTTATCCCTTGTGATTGTTCCGCACCAGCATCATCGTGACCTGGAATGTGGTAATGGTTTAAGAGGAAGCGATCATGTCGCCTGTGGTCCGAAGTTCCAAGTTCCAAAGCGCTCTCGGTCCTCATCGGATCCGCTGCTGACGGATCTATTTGGGATTCGGATGCCACGCTGCAATATCTAATTCGGCAGTATCAAATCGGATTTCATTCAATACTTCATTCAGTCCTCGACTTTCCCTGGAAGAAGTTCTTGCAATTGGAACCAGTGGCAGTTCGTCATGTACAGGAAATGAATACAACAAAGCTGCAGCATATCACAGCCTGAGATATTCCTGTTTACGCTTCCAAAGGACCATGGGTTGCAACACAGGAAGCCCGGGCGTCAAACTCCAATTCATATAAAACGACCAAGGAATCTACTATGGGCCTTATCTCCACCTTATCTCGACGCTTCAGTATGAGCAGATACGCAGGAATTATTCATCACTCTCCAGACCAAGGCCTTTTGCATTTGCCGCTTCAAGAGGTCGATGTGAGAGTATGGATGGTCGATAGTGCGCATTTCCATCGCTGTGTAGGCGAAAGTCACTAATCAGCACGCCACTTTCCTCATACTAGTCTCTGCGAGGGTTGTGCTCTCGCAAGTGTTTGAGAACGCATCAGATAGCCCTACCAGCCGGGCCAAATATGTATTCCCTCTTCCAGCGAGCGCTGCCGCTTGTGCTTTTGAACTCGAGCATGCCGATGGCCGTGTTATTGTCGGTGTCGCCAAGGAAAAGTCAGAAGCCGCACAAGCTTTCCAGAGTGCAATGGATGCTGGAAGGACTGCAGGACTTGTAGAATGGGTGACAGACGACAGTATGACTGGCACACATTTCGATGATACTGGATGAGCACTGACTTTGACTTTACTCTAGTATTCACAATCTCAATTGGCTCAATTCCCGCTCGACAGAAGGTCACAGCAAGATTGACAGTGAGTGCACTCTCGTTATTGAATACTTTTTCTTAAGAGCAAACAGTTTGTAATGGATCTTTTAGATGAGGGCAGACGGGACCAGGTCCGTCTACAGCTTCCGATGACTATTGCCGAACGATACGGCGAGACCCCAGCAGCTATGCTCGATGCGTCTACAACTAATGAAAATACGTTCATCAAAATCGCTGTGGACATCATAACAAGTGAAAAGATACAGGAGATACGCAGTCCTACTCACCCGACGATTGCTCGCAAACACTACAAGTCACGCACCGGAAAAAAGTCTGAACGACGGATGTTTGTAACTTGGTCGTCCACGACGTTCCTCGACAAAGACTTCGTATTGACAGTCCATGCTCTTGGACTCGATAAGCCCGGTGTTTCGCTGAAGTTGATCCACAGGGTCGTAATACCATTGCTATGCAGCTCTCCTTTGTACCAAAGTTCAAAATTCCTCCGCTGAATTCGCAAGAGTACATTTTCGTGATCGATCGAAGCGGAAGCATGAGTGGAGCCCCGATGGAAACAGCTAAGCGCACGCTGGAAATGCTCCTTCACCTTTTGCCAGATTCACAGACGACTTTCAATATTTTCAGCTTTGGAAGCAAAGTGGACGGTCTGTGGAGGAAAAGCGCGTCGTTTAATGAGGCGGAAATGCGTCGTGCGGTAAGTAATTTTTGTCACTGTCCAGAGCAACTAGCTAATGAGTGACATGCACAGATTTCGAGTGTGAAGGGCATGGAAGCAAATTACGGAGGGACAGAAATTGCGGAGGCCCTTAATTTTGCTATCGCGTCACGTAACTGTGACCGCCCGACTGCTATGTTTGTTCTCACTGACGGCGATATACATGTGCGTGTGATGACTTGGCTATAACTTTTCAATCTGACGATAAACTAGGCTTCCGCAAGACTTGACCCATTCACGGTTGTCTCTAGAGCTGTGAAAGGCTGCAAGGTCAATGCACAACTGAGGGTATTCACTCTTGGGATCGGTGAACAAGTCTCATCTGATTTGTGCGAGCGCCTTGCTCGTGAGGGCGAAGGCAAATGTCTGTTAGCTGTCCAAGCCGAGGATATCACAGGGAAATGTGCAATGCTTCTCAACGCTGGTCGGACACGTGAGATCGAGAGTGTCACAGTTGATTGGCATGGTTCGGGGAGCCCGCCAGCTGTCAATTTTTCACCCTTGAATCACCACCACCCGCTTCCGCCCAGCGTTGTGCAGCTAGAACCTTCTCCTTCGATGCAACAAGGGCCGCCAACAATCACAAGTATATTCCCTGGAATGCGACTCAATGTTTTTGCAATCACTACCTTTAGTTCGGTTCCTCGCAAAGTCAGGTTGATTGCGAAAATCAAAGACTTGGGAGAGGTTCTCGATGATCTCGTGCCTGTCATGGAGGTGAAACCATTCAAGGACGAGTGGTCGTTCATTCCACTCCTGCATACCTTAGCTGCACGACAACTCGTGAAGGACTTGGTGGAGCTTAGGGCTCCTCTTCCCAAACCCATCGCACCTGCTTCGGATGAGGACATTCGAAAAGCAGCGATCGTTCGCTTAGGGCTTGATTACCAGCTTGTTAGCAAGCACACATCCTTTTTTGCTGAAGAGTCCGGAAAAGAGACGACAAGGGGGTCACGCGGGTCAATGTCATGGCAAAAGTCTCGGCGGCAGCATAGCCACGCTGGTGCCCCTGCTGATCTTGCTGATAGGATATCCCAAGAACAGATGTGTCCACTGTGCAGACCGTTTTGGACAGCTTGTCTCAGGCGGTTTATTCGGTGTTCAACTTCTTCTTTTCTGATCCTCCCCCCGCACCTCGAAGACGTCAGACGCAGCTTCCCGGCGCGTATTATTCCGCTGCACAATCCCGCTCGGGCTCGCCATCCATTCGGAGTGAATATTCATATCGACACGACAACTCAAGCACGGACACGTTCTCTACATTAAGCTCCTTAGAAGGCTCTTACACGAGTTCTCGATGGTCTTACTCTCGGCCGTCCAGTCCTGTACCTCCCCCAGAAGACCCAATCCAGCGTGTACCATCGCCAGTCCTCAATGTCACGCCACAGGTACATCATGCAGCACCTCCACGTATTGCAGCACCCGTGCCAAAGGAAGCGTACGCCATCATCTCGCTGCAGAACTTCGATGGCTCTTTCACGCCATCGGCTCAATTGGGGGCGCTTGTGGGCATTGATACATTGGCCAAAGCAACAGAACTACAGCTCGATGCGACTGTATGGGCAACTGCAGTTGTTGTTGCGTACCTGAGGCATCATTTGGGTACGCAACAGGATTTATTGGATGCGTTGATGAACAAAACTCTGGATTATGTTGATGGAAGGGCTGCGAATTTGCTCATAGGACGTGATTTTTGGGACTTCGTGAGAATTGCGGAGGAGTCGGTGAGTTCGTGATGAGTTTATTTCCTGACTCCTGCCGCAAGTGGGAGAGCTATGATCTGTATCGTGGTACGTACCTTGAATGGGTATCATTCTCTACTATCCAGTTACTCGATTGATTATATTCCTATTTGTACTAAGATATACCTTATGATATGTACTGCGAAAAATCTGAGTTGTTTGATTTATAGGAATGAATATCTGCAGACCTAGGCTCTAGTGGGGAGTTCATGACAATGTACAGTAGCGCATGCGATTACCAAGTGATGTGCCCCTCAGTGCAAGTTCACTTTCCCAAAGCGCAAGCTAGCCAGGAGAGCGACGACTTGGGTATACGTTCTTTCAAGAACATCCCGCAGTGTATGCGACACCCAACGCGTTGATGTGGAGGCCATCATACATCTAGTACGTAGTTTCCAGCACGACAGGAGGGCTGATGAAGATTCGCTCTCCAGCTTATCGTAATCGTCCACTGCGTGTTCGAGATCGATACCCTTGAATACTATACCAGCCAATTCCTTCTAACCAACGAAGGTGGTTTTAATCCATTGCCATTCAACCTATGTCTAATGCTTTCCCTCCTTGCACGCTCTTGCCACCTTCAATTCAGAAGTCCCCCTTGAACATGCGAATTCTTTCAGCTTAGGTCATTATATTTTTTTTCTTATGTAAAGTAACGGTACTTGAACTATACATGCGATGATTCGTATTAATCCCCAGGAGGAGGAGGTGAATGTTCATTGTTGTCACCAGATACGGAAGCGACGAGGACCCCAGTAGGAAGAATGGATCGCTGAGCTTCGAAGTTGATGTGTCCCACTCCCATATGCTGGGATCTGACTCAGAGGCCCCTGAGGAAGGCGTGTGCTATCGAGTGTCCACGTGAGAGAGAAGTGGGATGGATATGTACGATGTATGAGGCTCTTCCATCTTCTTCAATACGACACCTGTCTTCAATTCGTACAGGCCAAGCGTCTCGTGATACGAGGCATAGAACATGCGTTTCCCATAAGGAAAACTGCGACCGAGTGTACGCCGCCTCTTGATCTTCGAATGTTCGAGCGTGGAGCTTGAGACAAAAAGCGCCATTTTGCTAGGAGCGGAGGTGGGCTTGATGGCATGAGGCTGTTATCATAAGCCTGAGCCTGGACATGTGTCTAACTCACGTCGCCACAGCTTTCCAGATGTAACCAAAAGAGTTTTGCTAATCTCTGTAGCGAGGATCTGCGCGAAACATACTCAAATTGTGTGATACGAATCGACAGTTAAGACGTGCCTTTGAATTAGAAACCTGAGCCCTGGACATAGCTGTTGATGTCCACTGGAGGGAGGCGAAGGGGGAAATCAATGCTAACTAACATTGATTTCCACCTCGAGCACGCTTCTGCAAAGCGTCCTTTCGTGAGATGAGATGAGATGACAGAGGGGTCGCAAGTCAGCGGGAAAGTACATACAGGAAAGTACCTTCAATGGCGGTACCTGTGGAGTACCCTCCGGCAAAGCATCCTTTGGTAGTGGTCACTCTAAGACCATCTCATAAAAAGCCCATAAGCCCAGCTGAAGATGTGTCTTTCATGGAGAATATACAAGTCGTCGAAACAGAGTGCGGGAAGATGGCGAACCTTCGCCGATAACACCAGGCAAGTCAATGAAGTGAAGCAGCAGCACAATAAACGCACCTCTGCAGTATAAAGAAAGACAGACACACTCCCTCCAAAGTCTACCTCGACCGTGCTACACATCATCGGCATCCAGGAGGACCACACTCTGCTGAGCTGCTGGAGATTATGAGAGTGGCATGACCGCAGTCGCAGGTTTTCCCGACGTATGATGACAACTTGACAAGCTCATATGACAAGACCCTTCGGTTATGGGCCTTGGACAGTATTGTGTTGAAGAAAATCAAGAGGCATCGAAGTGAGGTGCGGGCATTGGCGGCGTGATCATTGGTGAGGAGATTGCGAGCCTGTACCACAAGATTTGGTTGCATATTGTGCACACGGGAATACTGGGAGTCTATAGGATGAAGAAGTGATATTGCAGTAAGCTATACGCATACGTTCAAAGGAGTGACGTATGAGCTGGAGTAGCTGCTAGACACCAAAAACAACGATATTCATGCAGGATAGACAGTCAGATTGGAGCGCTGGAAAGCACTGACTGCTCGATTAGGATACATTCTGAAGGCTACGAAGACAAGAGTATATCTATAATTCTCGTAGTTACAATATGCATACACCAACAGTACTGCAATTACCTGGTGGACCCGGATATGCTGTGCTCTCGCAGTCAGTAATACTAGCCTATGCGCGATGCATATGGGACAACGAGTTTTGACAAACGGAGGACCAGATGAAACGACGGTGCCGGCCTACTTCATCCACCAAACAATTGACTCTAGCAGACCTCGAATTCTATGTCACCTGCTCTAAGTCAGTCAACTCACGGAGCCTTGGAATTTCAGCGTCGAACCTTAGTGCACGCGTAAATGCAATTGAAATGGATGGTGTATTGATAGACGCACCAAGTCCAGTCACGTCTCGTTACTAATCCATGGTAGAGTTTAGCCTGGGAGCACGCCCACCCACGAATTGCCAAAGAAAGCGATTGACTGGGAATCATATAGCTGTAGCGGAAGATAGTGGTTGCAACGAGGTTGGCATCCATTTCTGGTACTTTGAAATTGGCGAGTGAGGATGGTTTGGTCAACAGTGTCCAACCGCTCTGGGTGGAGGGGTCCCACGAAAATTGTTCCGAGGACGCAGACAACGCTCTACGGAGCTCGACTCCTGATGTATCTAGTGGAACGGTCCAACAGTGACGATCACCGACCCATCGCGTGATGTTCGGGAGGAATGGAGATTCATAGGGCCGCGCGAGATCCCCGGGCCTGAATAGTGAATAAGCTCTCCAACCTCTTTTGATATACTTTGCAAGAACATCCGGGCGGTGCCTCGATCCAGGGATTTTGAGTGCGCTTCGGTCCTCAAATGTTGCGATTGGGTAAAATGAATATGCTGCATCGAAAGTAATGATGTTCATGACGCAAGCTGTGACCGAGAGCATTAAAGTTCATGTAAAAGAAAGGAAGTTTAAACACACTTGAGTGATATTTCATGACAGTATCGATAGGGTTGTTGATCGTTTCAATCACTTGGACCTGGAGCTCTACAAGCTCTTCATCTATAATTATAAACCGCTTGAAGTTGTAGACTTCAGCGATATTAGAATACCGCGTCGAGCGTATAGGATCTTCGTCCAGCAAATGATGCAATGGGTCCAGGACTCGTATTCTTGACACCGTGCCATCCCAATCAGCTGAAACCTGGCTACGCCAGTCTGCATCTTGATATTTGTGTGGTCCAAATCGATACCCAAAGCTCTCCATCCACTCTAGCACCTCGTAAACGTGACCAGGGTGACAGTAGATGTCGAGGTCTGACTCAGGGTAGAAGGAACGGTCTAAAAATTGAAGTGCACTTGATCCTGAAATGATGAGACCAGTTCGCGCTTGGAGAGAGCGGAATGAAAGGGGATCTGGGAAATAACGCGACAGATGTCGGTTGATGTTGTATGCGCGCTGGCAAAAACGAGTTACTGCTTCACGTATCATGTGGCATGTGCGCGACAACCGCACTAGGGTGCGAGGACTCAGATTGCGGAATATGGAGTCATAGATCGGGGCATTGGAAAAGACGTGTTTCATGCGGCTAGCCCGCTGGCGTGCAGCGCGCGACTCCCACTGCATTATCATTGTCAACGACGAACTCGCAAATTTGCTTGAAGTGATGTTTATATAATCATCGAATACTGCCGAGTTACTATCACTGCGTGTTGTCCAAAAATTCCGACGGCTGAGAGTTGGCGGAGATTCTGGGGGGTCCCCAAGGTTTCAGCCACGTCACCGCCACCAAATATCAGCCAGCCGATACTAAGTCGTAAACTTGATACTCTAAGTCGACGCTCCGCGCAACGATGGCAGATACTATAGCTATCGGCCGGGCCTCCTTGCCTTGATTTCCTCTTCGTATATACGGCGTCGACTTAACCCTTCAACACGCCTCAACGCATACCCAGCTGCAGACCTACCACATTAGTACATATAACGTTAACCCATAGCTAGGGTTTATTCGACGACAAAGGCAACTCTAGCGTCGTTGGTTCTGCTAGCGCTGCTTGTCTCCAACCAACACAACCGACACCACATCACTCAAATTGTACGAGCCTTGCCTGCCTGCCATTTGAACATCTATCGTGGCCGTCGACTCGAGGATAATTACAAGTATGAAGACTCATGTATGGCTTGTAATATACATTGTCTTCCAAAGACTGTCCTTTGATCACCTGTTGGATCTGATTCATAGCGCCGCTTGTGTCCTTGCACTGTGTGTACACCAGCGGGTCTCTACCAGACCAGTTGAATAATCAGACTCCATGTCACGAGAAACGGATATGCTTGTCGTCAGCCAGGTCCAATCGCGAACAAGCTCATGTTCGAAGATGACTTAGATATCGATCAGGAATTCGAAACCTCACAACCTGCTGCCAAGTATGATTGTCCACCCTCACGGGCCTCACCTACTCTGGGCGACAATGAGTATTTTGATCGCGAGGCAGACGCTGATATCATCATGGGCATGGATGAGGATCCTGTTGACAGAGACTTTTATGTTGACGAGGATGTTTGTGTTGACGGAGACCCCATCCTTCGACAGAATTTTGGCATGCATCAAAGCGACGGAGAATACCCTTCCCGACCTGATTCCCCTCCTCTACACTTTCCAGCATCTGATGATGAGTCTCTCGACAATCAAAGTATACTTTCTCTCGATCTCGGCACTTCTGCTATCACACACGACGAGCATCACGAATGGGTTAGTACAGGTGAAGATATCGAGGGAGGTGACGAGCACGTTTGGGACCCAGAGGTGGATCCTGAATACTTATCAAACGATGCTGTCCTCGAGGATGGCCTTGCACAAGAAGACCAGAGCGAGCTGGAGGATATCCTCCCACATGCATTATCAGAACATCCGGCTCTTCTCAATGGTTACTTGACTGTGTTTGTCAATGCTGCATACCGACATGCAACACATGCAGACTTGGAGGCAACACTTACCCTTACTCATACAATAATGAACTCAACAAGGACGTCTGCACTTTGATCCGCTCTGTGAGTCGAATGTATGCGCTTGCAGACTGCAGTGCGCCAGTATAAGTATAGTCAGACTTAGTAGTATTACTTGCTTAATCGAGACCCCACATACGCGGAGTTTGAAACTACCTTTGCTCTTGACGTCGTCCAAGTCGTTACCCATCATTCACAGTTGGTGAGTGTGTCGATCCTCAACAGCCATGCTGATCAAGTCGTTGCCCATTGTTCGCAGGATGATGTGAGTGTATCGACCCTCATTCGAGCAACAGCCACATTGCCCACTGATCTTCAACAGCCATGCTGATCCAAGTCACCCACTGTTCGCAGAGAGTGAGTGTATTGATCCTCCTTCGAACAACAGCCATGCTGATACAAGTCATTGCTCACCGTTCGCAGTTTGTTTGTGAGTGTGTCGATCCTCAACACCCACGCTGATCAAGTCGTTGCCCACTCTTTGCAGAGAGTGAGTGTATTGACCCTCGTTCGAGCAACAGCCATGCTGATTAAGTCGTTGCCCACTCTTCGCAGAGAGTGAGTGTATCTGTCCTCCAAGCTTGAACCATGCTGAGTCAAGTCATTGCCCACTGTTCGCAGGAAGTCAGTGTGTCGACCCTCATTCGAGCAACAGCCATGCTGACTCTCCAAGTCGTTGCCCACCGTTCTCAGGAAGTGAGTGTATGTCCTCCTACGAGCTCGAACCATGCTGAGTCAAGTCATTGCCCACTGTTTGCAGGAAGTGAGTGTGTCATTACCCACAGGTCACAGGCTCACATGGGTGCGGGTAAGGGTGCGGGTGCAAGTGAGGTCTCCGACACCTTAGGGTTTACCCGTATAGATCCTTAATTATACTTGTATCTAGCACGGAGGAGCAGTCTGCTACCGCAATTGTATGATATATTGGGTGGCCACCAGCTGAATTTGACCGCGGCCGTACGCGTGCAGCAGGAGTGCTATATATATATAATTACAGCACTCCTATATATTAATATTATATATATGTGTATATATAATATATAAAGCTCGCGAGGTCGCCCTATCGAGGATAGGCCATGGTTTCAGCCGGTGTCGACGAGAGCGCGAAACCTTGACTGCTACGTAGAGGAAATGCGACAAAACCGCCATGTTGACGCCGGTGTCCAACGAAGGCGCTGACGTGGCTGAAACCTAACCTAGGGTCAGGTTCTACCCTCGTTTCATACAGCCGAAATTTTTGATAACACGCAGTGTATAAACGTTACATAATAAACGTATTTTCTTGGAATTGACTAGGCTAGGCTACTGCTCGGGCCAGAACCGCCGCAGCAAGATCAACGTTGCGTCTCAAATTTCAATCCCCTCAGCTGTGGCTGTTTCCTGCCGTATGTTTTTCGCTGCGAAAGGAAGATTACTGATCCTGCTTCCCAGATCTCAATCCCTCGTTGTGGACAGCGAGAGACAGCAAGATCACACATGGATTTGCCTCGAATGAGTCCAACTCGTCTGCGAGCCCTTCGGGATGCCTGCACGTGGATGGAGCCATCATCCTCATTGGTGTGTTCGCCTCCCTTGGCCTCCTAATCACCTACCACCGGTAGAGGCCGAAGATCCCCGTCGACTCGTTCTGTGGCTTGTCCTTGCTTCGTTCCAATCCGTCGGCGCAACCGCCTCGAGTTTATGGTCAAATATTTTTATGTAGACCCCCCTCCAGATTTGTATTTCAATACCGTCAGCGGTTCACTGATGACAGACCATCAGATGCTCTTTCACAACTCCGCTATACCCTCGAAACAATCATATGCCAAGTTCACGAATGTACATCAATTTTGGTCCGCAAATCCCAAACCTCGCTGCAGATCTGGCGCATCCATGCCGTATTGATTGGTTATTCGTCTATCATACTCGTAGCTCGACTATGGAAGAAGGCCCGGATACATTTATGCGTCGATATTGATACTTTCGCCTTCCCATAAGATTGCCATCGGTATGCCACAACGTTGCTCGTTGTCAAAAGTACATTTTGACATACTATTGCCTATTGCAGCATCCTATTTTACCAGCACCTACCACGAAGCAGAAACATCCATAAGGTATTTTGCCCTTTAACTTCTCATTGCATCATCCATTGCCTCTGCACATCCTTTCTCAGCACGATCTCATGACACGTCTGTTCGATATTCTGCTCGACACCATCGTCAACTTCTTCACCAACCACACTGCTCAACAAAACATGGACGTTGAAAGTCTCTCATTCAGAAGCAAATGCTTCATGCCCGTCTTTAGTGATCCCCGTTATCTCTGCCACAACCGGCCTGTTCAACAACTCAGTACTCATCGCTCGTCACCCAGCCTTCATGCGTAAGTTGTCAAGGTATGCCAGGTTTTCATGTATCAACCCAAACAAGCGCATTGCCTATAATCATGTTAGATTCGACTTGCGTTACAGTGCGCATCTTGAGAATGCTGGATGAAAAGTGTCTAGTATATGAGCTGATAGAGAACGACGGGGAGTCGAGGTGCGCAGTCCATATCTGGCTCCCGATTTGATGAAAGTCGGATTGAGTAAGGCCCCGCCAATTATTCCTTCTCGACTGGGCTATCGGTATTCCGTATCATGATCAAGTCGACATGGTCCGGACAGATGACAAGAACTAGGGATTCAGATTACCAGCGCTTGCTGAGGGTTGTGGTGTTGCTGTCAGGCTGTAAATTATTAGGGTTTAAACTCGTTTGAAGGAACGGAGAAAGTTCGAGAACTCAGAATGGTAACAAGGTACCATGTCACTGGCTGGCCCATATGCATCACCGGTCACCGATCAGAAAGTCAAACGTCCAGAAACGCCTCAACTGATTTGGCTAGTGCACACTTTCAAGTTGTTACTAAGCTTCTTTAGTACTAGTGTTATCAATAAATCAAACAGGTTGGAAAATATCGTAAAAACCAGTTCCTGGACCAACGTTCTGTTGATCACACAGAGGCATGTTGAAAATATCCAGGGTGTGGTAACGAGGCCTCTAACGTCAACCTTATTTTTGACACTAACTATGTCATTCCATGGACCTGAAATTCTGAATCTCTCACCGCTGCTGAGTACTTGCGGATATTGTTACAAAATCTGCCAACTGCCTTACCTGTTGGTTTGCACGTTCCGATCAACATTGCTCTACACCTGAAGCGAAATAGGGGCCTTAAGCGGACAGATTTTAAGTTCTGGAACCGAAAGCGTTCAGTTCACTTGCATCCATGGGAAAGTTCGCAGCTGAACGTACGCTAACTTTAATGAACGTGCACTGACGCGGTCAACTGGATGTTGTACTTTTTCATTGAATGCATCATTACCCAAAGTAGTGTTGGGAACAAAAGGCGTGACTTGAAATTTTTTTATTTAGTACATATAGGATCCATATATTATTCTTAATTCATTGTCCGTCCCCAATGCGCTCGCGACCCCGCATCACCTCGCTTTAAGGCTTACACGACTATTAAGTACGTTCAACGATTGACTCTGTCAAAGACGGTTCAGCTGGATCTCAGAACTGCGCACGGTCAAGTATATCCTGCGTTGCCACACGGCATGAGAAATGAGGTGAATTAATGAAGAAATAGATAGCGCCGGATATCATGTACAGGCGCTTGTTTTTGTAATAAACACGACCGCAGGTGACGGCTACATTGAGAAAGGTAGGTTAAAATGTTGGCTTTGCACAGGCAGATCATAATCACAACGACTGGAATTCCCTGTGGAATACAAAGACACAATGATGGCAGCTACAGGAGAGGCACTGCGAGCGCCAAATATTCAAGAAGCGAGACCCTTTTGTTTGTTCAGGTATCAGCGCCAACTGCGCCACAACTTGAAATAGAAGCAAAATCTGATCCGCACAAATCAGGTTATCCAGCACAGAGTTAATGCACATGCATGCTGCGATGCCGTTCCGTACGTACTTGCATCCCCAGGTCTAGGCTGGATCATATAATAATGGTTTCAACAAATCCTTCCCTTCTTTTTGAACTTAAGCTGCGGTTCGACCAGGGTCGATCCTGCACCACCCGCGCTGATGTCTGTGTCCGCAAACTTTCTGTTACATACCGCTATCATCAGCAGCCAGGTTCTTATCCTGGCATGTGGATACGGTTTTGCTGGCGCAGTTCTCTATTACGATTACCTCTCTCCGCTTGATCAAGTGGCCAGCTTATGGGAGCATCATCCCCAGGAGTTGACGACAGTGATCACACTAATGGCAACTGTCCTTTCGGTCACTACAACTACGTGTGTATACCTTTTTGCTCTCTTCAGCTTACCACTAATAAAAATGGATATTTCCTCAGTCTTTTCACGATCTCAATCAAGGAGGCATTGAGATATCGGATAACGCAGCCCATCTCTCTCGTTCAGCTAGGCGCCGGTGTCGCTTTGGCCAAGGGCTCCATCATATTGAGACATGAACACTTGCGACTCACCACTATGACGTTGTTCATCTTTGGTGTGCTGAGACTTTTGACAGCTGGGTAACTCGCCATCGTACCAGTATTGCTGTATTGTCTAATTTAAGTGCGTATTAGGTGGATAACTCTCCTGACACCAACCTACTTCCTATGGCCAATTCAGATGCAAGGATCCGAACTTGACATTACTGGTACCGCGTTTTCCAACTTGCTCTATCAAGAATTTCAAAAGGAGGGTGTCAATGCCAGTATGTATCTCCACATTCCCAGTGTTTCGTCTGTTTCTTCTAAAACGAACAACCCAAGTCCAGGACAATTCTTTCGCGATTCTCGACGTCGGCGGAACGCTAAGCGGAGTCTCTGCTGCAGGCTATACCTTTGGTCTTCCGGGGATATTTAATTTCAATGGCGCGAAATATGACGTATCCACTCGTAGGTTCATATTCTCAGCTCACCTGAAGCTGTTTTGTGATGGCGTGTTGTGTACCTAGAGGGGATTGTCCCCACCATCGAGAGCTATTCCGGCTCGCATGGAGTTCCGGGTCCCGATGGCACTCGTCTTGGGTTTACTGGTGGAAAGGTCACAGTTGACACAGTATCGCTGCCGGGAAAACATAACAGCGTGTCTATTCCTCAAGGATTCAGTAGGAACTATTCTATGTGGCAGCAGGGGTTGACAGCCAATGTCAGCTGTCAGCCCATGAGCTCGAGTCAAACGCAGTATGTTTGGGACACGAGTAACTCCTCCGTCATCTATTCCAACCCAGATAATTTGTACAACTCCATCACCGGTCTTCGCCTGTGGAATATAACTGCAAACTGCGGTGCCAGTGAGTTCCGAGCGTGTATATCTTGCCTCTGATTTACTGTCAGCTTCTAGGTATGCCCACGATGCAGGAATATGTGACCGTGGTGAATGCAAGCGGATATGCAGACCAGTCAGACAGTGGGTTTCTTCCTTGCCTCGTGTGCCCGGGGCCTTCGGATCTGAATCAAAGTTATACAAGCCTCAGTGAGCCATTGAAATATACGTTTGTAATCATTAACCGATTCTTTTCCTATAGCGATTCTTACACAAGGATTTTACAAGTATAGGTTCCTTGAGGCAAGCGTATGCGAAGTGGTCCCAATGCTGACCACGGTCCGCGCCGATTATTCTAATGGCCTAATTTCTTCCGAGGTCATTTCATCCACCCCTTTCCGAGCAGAGAATGAACAGCTACTGTCATTCTTAGCCGGAGCTATCGCGTTTAAGTGTACCTACTCGCAGGGGCTCCTGAGCAGTACGATCGGAGATACTCTGTACTCCATCTATTCCTCAACAACTAACACATCTATCAATGACAATATTGGAAATCAGACGCAGGTTTATACAGAGCTGGTGAGTTTCATGTCGCAAGGTTTTTGCCCGCGTTAAGTTTATGTGTTTCTTAGGAGGAGTATTGGCGTGGCATTGTCGAATTTTCTGCCACGGTGAGGATTCTGATCCCTTGGGTTCAATCTTCATTAGCTTAGCATCGCTTGGCAGTTCCTTCGCTCCGGGTTTATGGTTGTGGGTAGCTTCCCCGACGATATTGTCCCAAACAACCTTTCCTCCCTAGTCAATGGGACCATGTACATATCGACGATAGGCTGGACTCGGCGGTCGGGGACATATTTTATCTCTATCCTTCCCTTCACCGTCATCACCATCCTCATGTTTGCCTCCGCTTTGTATAGTTTCTTGCAGGCTCGGAAAAGGAATAGTGGCTTTAGGACCACCTTCGATCCGTCAAACCCCCTTCACCTCATTATGGCATCCGCCGAGGCGGGGAAGGCGTCCAACGTGGCACCCGCTGACGGGAGTCTGAGACTCCAAGGTTTTGATGATATTGGGATCACCGCTAACGAGCGCGTGAAGGTGCAGCTGCAGGACGATGGTGTGGGGAAGAAGTTTGTGACAGTCAATTGAAGCTCGTATGATTTTAGGTACCACTGATCAGCAAATGCATGTTGTATTAGAGCTTCAACATTCATGCCATAGCCCGTATTCAGAAACAATGGCTGTGATATATTCCCCGGAATACGCGTCAATGTCTTTGCGATCACTACTTTTAGTTCGGTTCCTCGCGAAGTCAGGTTGCTTGCGAAAATCAAATACTGCCGAGATACTATAAACGATGCAAAGTCTGCGATGATAATTCTTGAGAAGCTTCCGATGCACAAGGAGTACTACTACACTTTATAGTCACCCACGCAACGCCATTGGTCTTGTGAGTAACTCGTGCCTGCTGCGTTTCTCGTTTCTAAATGTGTACTTTATCAAAGTACGATACGCTCTTCATCGCAGTACCACTGTCTAATTCTCCTTTCAGAAAGGTCAACAAATTCTTCTTGATCTTGGTGAAATCAAACCAATCATCGTCGACCGCTATGAAAGATGGAGGATGTAAAACATTGAATATGGCAGACCGTCGTCATCAACCGGTCAACCCCCCTTGACGATTCCGGACGGCTAGCACAAGACGCAGTTCATAGAGATGCTGAACGAAAGCGTGAGGAAAAGCGAAGGGGAGATTAGGCACGTTATTCTATGCGATCAGTCGAGACACAGCCACCGCGTCTACAGATTGATACCGGGAGCAAGAAAAAGGAAGACACATTGGCAGCCGCTAGGCGCGCTGCAAACGCACGGCTGTCCGATTCGACGTACTACAATCGCGAAGGCACCCCTTCTGAGCCCGTGAGGCCCGTGAGCTCTGTGGAAAAACGGAGAGAGCATGACGAGTTCAGGAAGCATGAAGACCGCAGAAGAGACGAACAATGAAGGTAGACGAAGACGCAGGTGGGAACAAGAAGGTATTCTAAAACGTCAAGAGGGAGCAGAGTTCGGCTCGCCGTAGCGTTCCCATGCTTGCGACGTCCACAGGCGACTCCCAGCGTTCATCTTCTGTGGATCCACAATTTTATGAAGACGTCGCTCCTCTTCTTATGCCTATCAAGAGCCCAACAAGGTCAGCGTCCACGAGTAGATACATTATATTTGATGCCATTGAAATTAAATATCCCAGGAAGACCAAAGGTATAGCCTGCAGCAGAGACTCCGCTTAGCGTTCTGCGGATGTCGAGAATCGCGAAAGAATTGTCCTGGACTTGAGTTGAATGAACGGATGCAACACTGGGAAAATAGAGATATGCACTCTGACCGTGAAAAGACTAGGGGAATGTTCACCTGTATGTTAATGGAGAGCTAGAGAGGGTAAGAGGGTATACAGACGTAGCGGTGGTGACTGAAAGCATAGTTGCTATCAATGTAAGCTTCATCGTCAACTCTCCGGGGTAATGACTGCATAAGTTGCAGACTTGATCTGGTAGAGAGTGATTATTATAATAGAGAACTGCACCAAGAAATCCATACCCAAATGCCAAGATAATAATTTAGCTACTGATGATGTATAGTGGTGTAGCGTAGAAAGTTCGCGGGCACACGAGACATCGTAGAAGTAGGGTGATGCAGAATAGATCGGACCGACAAAGTTGCTGAAGTTAAAGAAGGGAGGGAAGGGAAGCATGCCGCACGGTGGAGCTCGGAGCTGAGGATATGTTGAGCAGAGTCTGGGATCTTCTCGTTGTGAATGACGTGAGGATGGTTTAAGGTTTGAAGTCGTTTGAAGGAATCGAGAAAGTTTAGAAGTTTGGAATGGCAACAGGGTACCATGCATGCTACTGGTTGGCCGTATCAGAATATTCACTGAGAACGCCCTCAATGAGGCGCATCTGATTTAGCTAGTGAACACTTTCAAGTTGCCACTAAGCTTCTTTAGTACTAGTGTTATCAATAGGTTAAACAGGTTGAGAACATCGTAAAAATTAATTCCAAAGTTGATAACACAGCAACATTTTGCCACCTTTTCTTGCCAGTGAGATCACAGTGCTCTGGAAGGCTCTAGGCTAGGTCTTGAATAGTCTAGCCAGGTCCAGATATGCTTTAGATTGAAAACTTGCAAGAGGAAACACGTTGAAACCCCCGATGCTGTAACACTGTTGAGAAATCTTTGTGGCGCCTGTTGAAAATCGTGAATCAATTCAGTCTCTCATCTCACCGTCAACCTTATTTTGGACGCTCTAGCCATGGACCTGAAATTCTAGATCTCTCATCGCTGCTGTGTGCTTGAATACTTGCGGATATTGTTACAGATGCTGGGTCCACAGCTAGTAGGCAGTGTCACGTCGCATGGTACAAAATCTGTTCGCCCCAAAGTAGTGTTAATATTAGCGATAGCGAAAATTTGAAGCGATACTGATCCCATTATGTAATATTCATTGTCCGTCGAGATCAAAACCAATGCGCTCGCCACCCCGCGTCACATGGACCCACAAGCTCCCCTTAGACCCGCTTTAAGACTTACGCGACTACGTTCAACGGACGCTCGGCATCAGTAAACCGGTGAGTTCTTGCTGGGGATTATGCTGATTATGGTGCTTTTACATAGTCATATATTGCTTTATATCACTTTATATTCCAATGTGACGAAAACCTTTCCTATATATTACGATATATAACGATATATGACAATATCTTCTTCTCACAGGTTCTCTGATGCTCTCTGTCAAGAACGCGCACGGTCAACGTTGTCAAATGAGTTTATTTATGTTGGACCAGGGGTCCCAAGGCATAGACTAAAGGAAGAGACATAGACAAGAGGCAGTTGGTCCTTCGGCGATAGCCATAGCTTAGTCAGCGACACGCGCACATAGCCAAACTCTGTTCATAGTGTAGCACATCATCACGCATCATAGAGCTCTCCCCTCACTGCTTTCGTCCTAGTCCATCGTGGTGAACAGAGAGAATCCGAACCAGCGCGATATTGCATCACACACCTATCACACAAAAAAAAAAAGCACGCAGAAGAAAGAAGCATTAGCTCGCGGTCTAGATTTTAGTCATAGAATAGAACATAGAAGCTCCCAAATAGAAGCTAACGAACCATTTACAGAAACATACAGTCTTATTACGTCGCAACTCACATCAAAAACAACACCAATTACAAAAAAGAGCAGTGTTCATCTTACTCGCATTTACGTTTATATTTGATGCCCAAAGCTAACAAATTGAGACCCAGAACAGCAAAAGGACAAGCGGTAACCAATGTTCGTTTAAAAACGAACTGGGAACTCTGGTCAGAAAAGACATCAGCAGCATCATCTCCTCTCGATACACCAGATCCATCAGGGCACAACACGCCAAGTCACTGTAGCACATCGTCACTAAGCAGCCTCTCGGAAGAAGACGAACAGCAGAACAATCAAGTCCCTTTCCCAGAACTAGAGGTCCCAAAATTAGACATCTACATACCATTGTCCGAAGTCCAACAACCACATCGTCGCACGAAGACAGAGCAGCTCACATCCATCTCCACAGTACCGAATTACAACCTAGCCGAATTCTTTGCACTTGCACAGTTAAAAACCTTCATGCCTGTAGAGACCCCGCAGATATTTCATGGCGATGGAAGAGCATCAGAAAATCCGGCGGATTTCCTGAAATCCTTCAATCAAGCAATGCGTCAGCAGACGATAACAGACAGCACCGACAAATTAGACACTTTCGGTGATTACCTCGGAACAAGTTCGCAAGCAGAACGATGGTTCAAAGTGTTGCAGTCGAAAGACAAAGCAACATGGAACACATTCGTGATAGCATTCGAGAAATGCTGGCCGCCAGTCCAGATAGCGGAGAAGACAAGAGCAGAGTACGAGAAAGAATTGCTAGAGCATATACTACGAGAAGAAGACGTAGGAAAAAAGAAGACGCTCTATGATAGAGAATGCTGGATGCACGTAGCATGGGCGATGAAGACGCTTCAACTCGCAACAGACACAGGCATTGAACAGAGCACGTCGATGATATGGCAAGTCCGCAGTAAACTACCGGACATCGTAAAGGATCTATTGAAAGACGAAGAATATACCAAGTGGGAGGAGTTCACGAAAGCGGTGACGGAGCTCAAGGGAAGTCGGCTTGTAGAGAAACAAGAACAATACCTCAAGCAATCACACGAACTCAAAGCGCTACGCGCAGACCTAGCTCGCGTCCAGACACGAGCACCGCAGCAAAACCCAATCGCAGCATTGCAAAGTCAATTCAATAGAATGTCGATTAACCCCACGACACCGCCAACGCTTCCGACAGCGAACAACACATATAACCGGGTACCAGCAGCAACCAATCGTCAGAACGCACAACCAATGTATAATCGGCAACCGGCCACAATGCAACAGCCGTTGATAGTAACGGAGGAGATGAAAACAATGGTCAGGCAGCTAGTTCAAACGATGCCGCAACACCCGGATAGCGCAGCAGGAAAAGCAGCATACAGAGCGCAGCTCGCACAGTGGAACGCGAGATGGTGAGAGAACGCGAGAGTCACGCAAGAAACAGGATACCCGCTAAAGCCGGGCACAGCAGCCATTGCATCCAGTGAATGCTTCGCATGTGGGACGCACGGACACAACGGACGGGATTGCCCGTTACCGCCGAACCACGAAGAGAGGCTAACACGCAAAGAAGCAGTGTGGAGAGCAATTGTGAGCAAGACACTGGGCACATACAACAGAGCAACGGCCACACCAATATCACTAGTCATGAGTAACGGCTACGAGGAGACACAGTTAGAAGCGTGGATCGAAGAGATTCCTGAACAACAGGGAAAAGCGGATGGGTCGACGTAAAAAAGAACATTACGTCGACCCAAAGTCTCAAACACATTCAAGCTGGAGTCGAAGTCCTCGCATGTGAAGAGGCAACATGCGAGGACAACTCTAGGACCATTAGCCCCAAAGTTTCTGCTGAGCGCGTAGCTAAGGATATCGCATGTACTACCGAACTTCACGACGCAATTGAAACCGATGACTTGTATTCGGTTGGACACCCGGTTGTCACAAAAGCTCAGTTAAAAAATGGAGAGGCAG